CGGGATCGCAACCCTCGGTGTTGTGCCTGCGCTGCACTCAGCCAGTGAGCGGGAACCGGTCTCCACATGGGATCCGAACCCTCGGCGGGAGCGCCGCCACGCTCCCAAGCAGCGCACTCTCCAGTGTGCCACCGGGCCAGCCCTGCTGTGAGGTTTTAAGTGGACCATACATGCACAGGGCTTGGTACTTACAAGAATATAGTAAATTATAACACTTCCTAGTACTGGTATAAAGCTACCTCAGACCTATTCTTTTTCAAAGCTGTCAGTCTTTGTCCAAATTTGATATTAGCTTATAAAGAGTATATTTCCCACCCTAATATTTCCTACACCTGTCTCTGTGACATTCACTCCAGAAACAAACATGACCTGAGGTGACAGTTGGAGTTGAGGCCTCCTCATAGATATCTGAAGAGCCAGCAGAAAGATGGGTGTGGTGTGTGTGGGAGTCCGTGTCATTTTCCTTAGAGTGACCTCATTAGCATCAATTCCAAATCAAGTGTGAAAATGAGAACAAAAGGACCTACTAGCTATTTGTGTGCCCACTTAATAAAACATATTTTCTCATTTGGTTTACCATGAGTGTTAGGGCTAACATCAGACATCTCTGTTCTGACGCTTGCTCCAAATTTTTCAGGACTAGACAATTAAATGACAGAAACAGAATCCTAACAAAGAAGAAGCACAAAGTTTTAAGAAACATCAGGATAATAGTGAGTCATTACTTGCTTGTGAATCATTTCTGTGAATTGTAATTTCTTGGATTCATAATTGAAATAATTTTCAGCTTTGCTTTAATAAGTTGAAAATGCAAATAATTAAAGCATAGTTAATTAGAGTGTTTAAGCAGTCTGTGAGTAACTATGCTAAAGATGGGCCAAATTAAATTTAAGGGCACTGTTAGGAATTAAGTGTTAATCAAGTAAGTATCATTTATGCATAGAAGAGAGATATGCTCTCAGAATTAATTTCTACTTCTGTTCAACTATTAGAGTTTAAAAATTATAGATCCCAAAGCTAACCTTCCAAAGTCATCAAATGATTATACTTCAATATTAAAACATTATTTGAAAGAAACATGAAAATCCATTTATTCATCCAATAGTTATTAATGGAATATTTTCCAAGCAACTGGAACTTGTTTAGTGTGTTTCATGCTGTGGAGAGGTATTTTATGCTGATTTACACACACGCATTCAAAACACTAGAAAACAATGACCCCAATGCTTTAACCATAGGGCTGAATCAGTACCCTTGCCTTGTCTCCACTTTTCTAGTACCAGCAAAGGGAATATACCTAAACAATCCCTTTGGAGGCAATGAGCAAGATCACTGAAAGGGGGCATAAACATTAAAGGAGACTATTAACATTCCTTGAAAGCCATGGTTAACACTTAGTTGTGTGGAATCTATTCTCCATGAAGTGTGGAGTACTATCCAAGCCAGCCACACGTACCTACCAGGAATTTGTAGACTAGGAGCTATGCCATTGAAAGGCACAGGATTACACTAACAAAGTGAATTCAGTGAAATCATTAAATTGGGATTTTGAATCTTGCAGAAGAATCATCCAAAGGGCTTGGTAAAAATTAAAACTATTAGCACCCCATGCCAGAGATTCTGATTAAGGAGGTTTAAGATACGGACTAGGAATTTGTTTTTTTTTTTTTTTTTTTTTTTTTGAGAAAAATAAGAAATATCAGGAGTCTAGAAAAGAAGATTGGCAGTTTTGAATGAAGGAAAGTAAACAATAAGTAACCGATGTGATGTTCCAGGTTAGGGGTTAGGGTGAGACTGGGTAACTAGTGCGGTGTAAACAATAATAGAAGAAGGGTGCATGGAAAAAAGAGCTCTCTGTAAAAAATTTGTAATTTTTTTTTTCTTTTCTTTGGACTGGTAAGGGGATCGCAACCCTTGGCTCGGTGTGATCCGCTCCACACTCAGCCAGTGAGTGCACCGGCCATCCCTATAATAGGATCCGAATCCACGGCCTCGGCACTACCAGCGCCACACTCTCCGAGTGAACCATGGGGCCAGACAGGAATTTATTCTTTAAATTAGCACTCTAAGTGGCTCCAAGGACCAAATCTTGATAAATATTTAAATGAAAGCATATCCTGGTAGAAGAGTGTGTATATGAAATTTACATGGACTAGAGGATAGAAAGTAAAGGTAGGTATATGCTTTGGGGAAAATTATCAAAAACAAGTTCACACAAAATCTGTCAAGTTTGTCAAGTTGGTTTATTTTTTTCATCTAAAAAATATTTATTGTTTTCCCACTATATCTCAAGCCCTAAAAATCAAACACAGCTTCTACCTTCATAGGTAAAGATCTATGCCTTATATTGTTCTTTGCCACACTTAGGATTTCTAATCCAAGCTCCAATTCTTTGTACATATAGACAGATCATAAATATAATAATGTTTCACTAAACTATCAGTGTTGGCCACCATACCAATCCCCAGCAGAAATGACCTTCCACTGGACACTATGAAAATACTACTGGCTTTTTGCTATCTAAACACATTTAAGTTGATTAAACATTAATCGTTTTCACCTCTAAGTAAACTTTATCTTTTATTCCCACTCTATCATGTGACCTAATGCAAAATATCAGAGTAGAAACATTAATTACTCCATTTTGTTTATAGACATGTGATTATTTTCAGTAGGAAGAGAAAAATGCCTAATTTAAATTCTTCCCATGATATTGGGGATAAATTTAACTATACCCAGCCTTACACCAGCATAATTACCCTTTCCAAGCCCTGGCTACATCACATGTGAGGTAGCTTACAAAGGTAACATGAGATTAGGAGCAATCCTACCCCAATCTGTGTCACAATTGCTATTCCTACACAAATGCAGCTGGCTCAACTAGATACACTTTTGTGCATTCACTCATCATATCTTGCGTGGTGGTGAGGGTTACTCTTATTATGGCAATTTGTAGTACAATTAATACATGTTTAAAATTGCGTTACAGATATTTTGAGTCACAGTAGGACATATGCTAAGCTCTCTGTATAGATTGTTGGCATTTATAGCTACTATGCACCCATATAAAATAAATGACTAAATAGGAAGAAATCTGAAATATATTACCAAGTATAACCTTCCTGGATAACATAAATTAGAGATTTAAAAGAGTAAATAACTAATACTTAGGATATTTTTGAGAAATCTGGTAAGGACCAGGATTATTATCAATGATATGAAAAGGAAAATGAGTAAGTATTTAAAAATAATTTGAAACCCTTGTTTTAATATAAATTTAATTATCTATAATGTACAATATTAGTACTAATTGTATTTATGATCATAAGTCATAATGTAATAGTTCAGTTATGGAGCAACAAAATAGCCAAAATGCTCCAAGTATAACCGATGAATTTCATTAAACCAGAATAAAAGTAAGCCTTAATTGTATATACTAGTAGCATAATCTGAAATTGAATTTCAGGTGGTTTAAGTAGATATTCAAAAATAGAAACAAAAAGTCCCAGTGTCTAAATTGATTTGGGAAACACTGACCTAAACTATTTATTTGAAGAATACTGATGAGCTATAATAATGCTAAAAGGTAACATTTATGGACTGCTTACCATGTGCCAAGCATAGAAATAAATTTTTTACTAGAATTGTCTCACTTAATTTAACCTTTTATAAAAATGGAGATTAATAATAGCTATGAATGTCTCAATGCTTACATAACTGCAGTAAGGAAGATTATATGCAAGGATACTTAAATAGGAAAAACTATGATATGTCATTATCTATAAACAAAGTATTATTTATTCTAGACTTAAAATAAGACATCCCCGGGCCAGCCCGGTGGCGCACTGGAGAGTGCGCCGCTTGTGAGCGCGGCGGCGCTCCCGCCGAGGGTTCGGATCCCATGTGGAGACCGGTTCCCACTCACTGGCTGAGCGCGGTGCGGGTGCAACACCGAAGGGTGGCGATCCCGTTGCTGGTCCCCAGTGTGGGCGCGACACTGAGGGTTGCGATCCCATTACTGGTCAGTAAAAAAGACAAAAAGGAAAAAAAAAAATAAGACATCACCAAGTTTTATTCATTTATTGAATTAATATCAATAAAGTTTCTCTAAAAAAACAATTATCTAGTTACTTTGGCATTCATGGTAAATGGATTCACTACATTTTCAAATTTTCCCTCTGAATAAGCAGGATTGTGTAGACATAAACTAAATATATCTCAAATGGAAAACAATTTCTACTACAATAGTACTATAATTTCCCCCTGACTGCCATGAAACAATATGCAATTTGTTATTAGTAGAGCTAAATAGAATTGAATTAAATACTTGGAAATTATTATAATGCTATTGTAGTAAATTACCTTTTATTCATTGATTGAAAATTATAAAATCAGTGGTATATATTCTGCACAAAGTTAGTTATAAATGATTGTATGGTGTACACACCCTTACATAGGATGCAAAGAGAATGTAGGAAGATGGTTATTTTTAAAAAAATAGAATTGCAATGTTATTAAGTATTCAGTGTCTAGTTATAAAGGGGCTCACTAGCCACTTGTCTTCTTATGGCCACCAGCATAAGTTTTGGTAAATTAAGGAAAAGAGCAAGCAAACTCATGGTCCTAATAAATGTGTGGAGTGGTGTATACATGCATCGGGGTGAATCGGTTAAAATAGCAGAAGATATTATCCAGTTGATCATTTTGTTCTTATCACATGGCAGTACTTTTATGTGACTAGACATCTACAAGAGCAGGTTGAGTTTCAGATTTCAAAATCCCGTATGGCATAGCCTCTTCTAGTCTGGTCTCTTATATTACAGGGGAGCAAGCTGGGGTGCCAGAGATTGACTTATCAAAGACATACAGTAAATTAAGAGAGGAGCACAAATCTCTTCTATCCATTCATCCTCCACCCATCCATCTTTCATTTCATACATGTATGCATTCAACAAGTATTTATTAAATGCCTATATGTGCTAGCCATTGGGGATGCGATGATGAGCAAAACTAGACGTGGTCCCTGGCCTTCGGGTAACTGTTTTTTTTTTTTTGTCTTTTTTTGTCTTTTTCCGTGTCCGGCAACGGATCGCAACCCTCAGTGTTGCCCCCGTACCGGACCGGGGACCGGCAACGGGATTGCAACCCTCGGTGTTGCTCCCGCGCCTCGCTCAGCCAGTGAGCGGGAACCGGTCTGTATGTGGGATCCGAACCCTCGGGCGGGAGCGCCGCCGCGCTTCCCAAGCGGCGCACTATCCAGTGCGCCACCGGGCCGGCCCCGGGTAACTGTTAATAATACACTGGGAGGTGGAGACACATTGGTAACATAATCACTCGAATACACACATGATTATATAGGAATGTGTAACAAGGAAACCTGACCTAAACCAGAGGGTCAGGAAGGGCTTCCCAAAGAAAGTAACCCTGGAATTGAGCACCAAAGACAGAATAGAGATGATGAGGCAAATGGAGATGGTGGGAAAAGGTGCAGAAGGAAAAAAGAAAAGAGTATTTGAAGAACAGAAAGCCCAAGACACTTGAAGTCTACAAAGTAATGACAGAGGAGCAGGGCTGGTGGGGTAGGCCTCTTCAGACCAGCCAGGTCCTGTAATCCAGATGATCATTTCTGGTCTTTATCAGGAGTCATGGAAAGCCAAAGAAGAGTTTTAGCAGAAGGATAAAGTTACAGCTCTCATCTTTGACAGTTTTATTTTCACCTGGGCAGTTGCCAGATTGATAAATGCTATTGAAAGAATAGGATATTGCTGTAGGTCTCAGTTGCAGTAAGTGGTGGCCTGTAGGAAGGGATGAGGTGGGAGAGATGGAGGATGGTAATATGTTAAAAAGGGGGCTTGGGAGTTGGTTGCCTTATTATTCATCTGGCATTTGACTGTTTCAAGGCTCTATAATGAGTTTGTTCTGAGAATAGAGTCATGTCTGAAAAACACAATTGTTTTGAAGGATTCAGATATAAATGAAATTTGTGTGTAGTTTTTGAACCATATTAAGTTATCTTTTTTAACTTAACCTCTTCTCTTGAGATTTCTAAGATGATCTGTATAGATCTTCTGGTCTGTATTCTCGTTGTAAAAATGTATAGTATGGATACAAAAATCACCTACTTTTGTTAATACCTCTCTTGAGATTTTTGAAGGTAAGGCTTCTGGCTGATCTCATCCAACCAAATGGGATGCTAAAATACATCACTGATACATCAGTAGAAATCTAAGCAAAGCCTGTGTGAGGAAACCCACAGGGTCTGGAATCCCAGCCGTGCAAGGCCTAGAGTTGTTGGAATCTCACTTCGTCCTCCTCAAAAACCCTTGATAACTCTTCACCACCTGAAGAATAATGTCCCAGCTACTCTGCATGGTCTTCCTCTAGAACCTTCATCTTCCTCTACATTTTTCTACCTGTTTTCCCTTCCAGGAAATCCAACTACCTGTCTAAGCCTTGATTATCCTGACTACAAAAAAAAAAAAAAGACATAATATAATACTTATAGTTATTAAGAAAGTAGTAAAGCAAGCACTTACTAAATGGCAGATCTTATTATATGAGAAAGAACAGATCAAGGTTAAGTTTAGGATTTATTTGCATTATTAACCTTCCTTTTAACAGTAGTGTGTTTCCTCCTTCCCCTAAGTCCACACCTCCGAAGGAAGAACAACTAGAGCGCTGACACTGAAGGATATTTTAAATGGGACATTTTCATATAAAACGTTTTTTCCAAACTGGATTTCAGGTATGTGAATTGTTTCTTCATCTTTGTTTTTGTTTTTTGTTTTTTTGGTTTTGTTTTGTTTTTAGTGCTAGTGTATCTCTATGGCAACTGAGGCCATATCATTTAAAATGGACAAAAAGAATAATTATTTGGAAAACTCTACTGCCCACCAAGGCACTTTTGACAAGACCATTCAGGCTAGATTTACCCAATAGTAATGAGGCCAATAGGAGTTTTAAAAGAGAAGTGAAAGTTGAGACCGCATTGTTGAAATAATTTGAATGACTCATTTAGCTTTTGAGAATGGGATATATGCACCAACTTAGGAGAGATCATGAGAATTTTGCCAAAAGAGAAATTCTTTCATTAATCTGGATAATCCGGAAAATAGACAAAATTCCACTCTGACAACAAACCTTTTAAGAGTCATAAAACTGGTATCTGCACATAGTTTTTCAAAATAGGGTGTTATCAAATAAGTATAATCAAATAAATGGAGAGATCAACTAATAGTTTGTGACATTATAGTTGTATATCTAAAATGCCACTAAACAGGGGCGGCCCGGTGGCGCACTGTTACAGTGCGCCACTTGGGAGCACGGTGGCGCTCCCGCCGAGGGTTCGGATCCCACATACAGACCGGTTCCCACTCACTGGCTGAGCGAGGTGCGGGTGCAGCACTGAGGGTTGCGATCCCGTTGCCGGTCCCGGTCCAGTATGGGCGCGACACTGAGGGTTGCGATCCGTTGCCGGACATGCACGGTGGCGCTCCCGCCGAGGGTTCGGATCCCACATACAGACCGGTTCCCACTCACTGGCTGAGCGAGGTGCGGGTGCAGCACTGAGGGTTGCGATCCCGTTGCCGGTCCCGGTCCAGTATGGGCGCGACACTGAGGGTTGCGATCCGTTGCCGGACATGAAAAAAGATAAAATGCCACTAAACAAAATTGAATATTTTCATTTTCCTCTTTAGCAAAAAAATTTATATAATGTAGGTTTCAAACTACATCAAACACAACCCACATGAAATTTACTTTTATTATTTCCAGAGAAAGGTACCATTTTAAACTAGTATACCCTCTTTGTAACTCAAAACCTTATTCTTAAACACCCTGAATCAGTTAGAATATGGCTGCTGTTTTTGCCATTAAATATGCCATCTTTGTGTGAAATAGAAAAAAATCATCTTTTTCTCCTTTCTACCGCCAACTTATTTTAAATCTGACAAATCAATATGTACTGGACAGGGAGGAAAAACAAAGTCAGTCCATGAAGAAAGAGAGGTTTCTTTTGTTTCAGATGTATTTCCTGGTAAGAGATCATTTCAACTTTTGTTTTCTTTCTTGTTTAAAGGACAAGAATATCTTCATCAATCTCCAGATAATAATATAATGCTTTATAACATTGAAACAGGAGAATCATATGCCATTTTGAGTAATAGCACCATGGTATGTACCTGACATCCTCCTCGCTAAACCTTTCGCAGCTCTTCACTGACCAAGAGACAAAGTTCAAATTCTTGACACCTGATCTGAGCCCAGCTTGCCTTCCCAGGTCCATCCCTCACTATAGTTCTCTAGTTCTCACTTCTAGTCATACTAAACTACTGTCCTTGCCTTCTTCTAAGTCGCCTAGCATCTTTCCTCCCCTGTGGCAATAGGAAGGCATTCAAAAGAGTTAAGAATTCAGTCCTTAGAGTTAGACACATTGAGATTCAGATCCTGGCTCTGTCACTTACTAGTTGTGGAATCTTGGGAAGATTCTACACTACACCAACCTCACTATGCCTCAGTTTCTTCCTCTGTAACGTGGGAATAATAATCCCTTCTTTGCTTAACATAAGAATTAAATAAAATAACATTTGAAAGTGCTTAGGACTGTGCCTAACATAGAATAAATGCTCAACAAATGGTAGCTATGCTGTAAGGACACATGCTGTTCTGTCCTCCTGGGTTCCCAATTGTCCTACTCTCTTCACACTTAAAAGCATGCTAATTGCATAAAACCAAGCTCAGGTAATACTCTCCTCTGCAACCAACAATCCTCTCATTTGGATCATACAGCATTTGCAATGCCATATTGAATCTCTTGTACAGAATTTTTAAATTTGTAATATGTTACTCATTTACAGGTTTAACATTATCAGCTTGAAATTACAAAGTATATCCTATTTGCTACATCTTCCCCCCAAAGTGACTAGTAAATTTCTCTGTATACAGTAGGTACCGCATAAACTTTTTTCAACAGCATTGAAAGTATATGTATCTAAGAGTGTACCAATGATATGATATTCTTTTAGAACTGCAAATTTACATGGCTCTTTGTTATTTTTTTCTGTATTCTAATCAAGTTCTTCATAATTTCAGAAAAGTGTGAATGCTTCAAATTATGGCTTATCACCTGATCGGCAATTTGCATATCTAGAAAGTGATTATTCAAAGGTATCAACTATTTAATTGGGTATATCTCCTACTAATCCACAGAATCGTTTATAAAAATAAGTGAAAGCAAAAGTCTATCTTTATCTCTAAATATCCAAGAAGCTAATGTAGATTCTAGATGAACCCAAAAGTCACAACTGAAACACATACAAATAATACAGGATTTGGTATTCTTGTCTAGTTATCATCAATTAGTGGAAAGTACTTTCCTCTGAGGGAAGGAAACTTCATTTGGGGGCACCGATATCTATCAGAAAGGGGAGAATTATCCTTGTATTTCTAAAACTATTTGTATCATAATCTATTAGTTAATATGTATTTTAACCTCATGAAAGTTTATTATTATTGAAAATGGAAAAATCAAGGTATAGCATATTTAACTCACACACTCAAACACAAAAATATATAGTCAGTGGTAGATCAGGATTTAAATCTGTGTCTTCAAAAGCCTGGTTTCGAAGTATTCACACCAAACCAGACTGTTTACTGTTACTTAATTTCCCCTTCGTGAATGGAGTTGCAGAGGGAAGGTAATCACCATCTTATTTTTTTCTTATACTGACAAAAGTGCAAAATAATTACTATCAAATTAAACTTCTAATACTTATTTTCAAATTAAGAACTTTTCATTTTGACTATCATTTCTTTATATCCTACTCAAGATGCAAAATTCCCTTAGTACATAAAATGGAAAGTCAGTCTTACTCCTCCCCAGTTGCTCCGTCAGCTGATTATTTTCCAGTGGCCCAGGCCCTGTTCTCCAACAGTCTTCACAAAGACACGTTTCAACCTGATGGAGCTCATTTGCCAAGAGTCTGAAAGCCCTTTAAGAAACAGAAACCAAAATAATATCAGCATTATTCACTAACCACAGTACAAACATACAAGAATCATGCAAGAAACATACAAGAAAAAGAACAGCTCTGTTCAGAAGAGATTATAAGCTAAATATCTCCTATTTAGTTTTTCAATTTTTATTTTAAAAAGTACACTCAATTATAAAAAGGCAAGCACTTTGCAACAAAACCACATGTTGAATGTAATTCTCTTTGCCCAATGCTAAAGGGTATCATTGTAATGAACTACACAGGTACAGGGTAATTCTTACAGACTGTGAAAATCATATTTGTTTTACTTCAATCCATGTAAAACGTGAGGGGAAAATTCCTAGGATAGAGAATGTCAAAGATAAGCTTTTTATATTAGGAAATGTCTTTGGATATGCTTTTTATGGAGTGAGGGTTGAATCACTGCTGAGATTGGTTCTGGAACTTGAACAGTAAAACTCTTTAAATGAAGACTTGTTTGGAATTAAAACATATCTTTCCTAATGTCTTGTGAAAAATAGTCCTTTTAGTAATTCTGAGCCTTGAATTAGATGACCTATGATTATACATTATTGACATAAGCTTTTTTTAAATTATAATCTGTCTTTGCCTCTCTTTCTTCTGACAGCTTTGGAGATACTCTTACACAGCAACATATCACATCTATGACCTTAGGAATGGGTAAAACGTCACCTTTATTTATTAAGACTACTTAAATCAGATATCTGGACTTTTTCATTCCAAAAATTTGGGTTTGAGGTTAAGACTACATTATTTTGTTACAATCTTAGTTTCTTACTTTTTTATAAGATATGTGTACCTATGAAAGTTAAGAAACTCAAGAAAATACTTCCGTGGGATAGTCACCTCTTTTTATTTAATATTTTGCATTTTTATACACAATATTGTTTTGTTTTTCTGAATTTTGAAGATCAAATTATGGATATGTTATTTATGGAAATAAACATATATAGGAAAAGTACAAAAACATGCATGGCAATGAGACTATTTTTAGACAGATAGTTACTTCATTGGAGAGAGGCAGAGGGGAGAGAGAAGAAGCATTAGCTGTGTCTGAACACATACTTCATCAATTAATTTAAAATTAATCATTTTAAAATGGTAAAAATGCTAAAATTAATTATTTTCAAAATGGTAAAACATTTAAAATGTTAAATGTTCTCTTAAATTTAGGTGGTAGATAAATTTTCATTTATTAAATTATTTTCTTAATTTATATGTATATTTTAACTATTTGAAATATTTACCATTTAAAATAAAAAATTAAATGAATGTACAGGTAAGCAAAGGACTGAGGGAAAGAACTCCTAGCAAAAGGAAGAGTATGTAAAGACCCAAAGGGGAGAGAGAGCCTGAGTGTTCAGGAAACTCAAAGTAGGCCAGTTTGGTTGAAATTGGAGGAGGGGTCCGCTGACTAGTGGGAGGTGTAAGGTTGGGAAAGAGTTGAGCCCAGGAGCATGGGCCAAGTAATAATGAGGAAACCATTAAAAAGAGCTTAGATCTCTTTCTGATGACAATAGAGAATCACCCAAGGGTTTTAAATGGGAAATGACATGATCAGATTTGCATTTCAGAAAAATCGCTCTGGCTAAGTGTGGACAATGAATTGGTTTAGTTACTCATCTTAATATGATATCCTCTTTGCTTTATATAAAAGGAAAAAAATAATTATTTGGCTTGAGGAGGTACTGAAAAAAATCTGGTCTGTTTCCCCCTTTGTCTAGCAAGAGCACAAAAACTCAGAAAAAATTATTTATCTACTTCTTTTAAATGTTCAGAAAAGAATAACTCAGATCTCCTTAAACTGTCAAATTAAGAAATAGGAACTGCTTCTTAAAGTAGAATCTAAATCCATCTAATGAATTCTGAGTCTTTTTCTTCTCTGTATTCACATCATCAACAAATTCAAGAAGTATTACTGAGCACCTCCTTATGTGTAAAGCATATATGGCAGAGATACAAATGAGTCTGTGGTGCTGACCCCACTGTCAAGAAGCCTTTAGACTAGTAAGGTGGGAATCTTAGTCTTTCACTACAATTTCTTAAGGCTTTAACCATGTCCTCATTTTTCTTCTAATTATTTTGAAATTCTTTATGTTGAGGTTCACCAAACCGAACAGCATTCCAAAAGAAGATGACAATACTAATATTTTAATCAGAGTTTTACAAGCTTCATTGCCTAGAATCACATTAAAAATTTAGCCTTTCTGCAGTGAATTTAATCAAACCACTCTTTTTTGTTTTTTGTTTTGTTTTGCTTTCTGCACAACTATCTAATTTTCCAGATATTTTTGTCAGGTAATTACAGCATAATTTAGGAAGTGAGGGATGACAAATTTGTTGAGATTCAAGGCATAACTGAGTACCACGAATTCCAAGTCTTTTCTATGCCTCTAGAATCTGTAAATATCTAGCACAGAGAAAATGAAAATGGTTTTGGTTTCAAGCTAGGAAAGAAACACTGAGATGACAGCCTTCATAAAGCAGCCTCCTCTTGTACCATAGTTGCTCAGAAAACAGCAGCTATGGTGGCTTGCCAGTCATGAAGAGACGTGCACCAAGATTTTTAGCTTGGCGCCTGACTACATGATTCCATAGATAATTTCACTGCATATAGAACACTAAAACCATGTTAGGTCAAAAGTAACATGAACACCGGCTTGAGACAGAATTTGGGTCATTCCCTTGACTGTGCCCTCGCATCTCTTTCAGTATGTTCTGGACCTCCCAGGGGCCTAGTGCTCACATACTGCCCTCTGGCGGCCAGGATTTCAGCTGCAGCACCAATGGCCACCTTCCTCCTGAGCAGTATCGCTCTTTCTCCAGTCAAAACTGCGCTGTGTTCCTCATTGCTCACTAGGCTTCATAACACATGACCTAATAAGTTAAATCAAGGCAATGTATATTACAGGGCTTCACAGGTGTCCAAGTGTTAAAAAAAAAAATGGGAAAGATAGAAATGTCAGATGCGTGTTAGGTCCAGATTGGAGAGTTTTGTTTTGTTTTGTTTTTTTTTTTTTGGAGGAGGCTGGCAAGAGAGTCATTCTTGAGGCTCCTCAAATTATACTTTGGAGGCATGTCTTGCTTTGCTTTTCCACAGAAGCAGTCTTGATGAAACTAATAATACAGTTTTCAAGAAGATAAAAGTTGAACTTAGGCATGGCATCCTATGGCTCTTTAACACATAAAAAATCTGAATACATTCTTTCTGAAGTACTACAAAAGCTCCACAATGCAAATCACTCAACTGAGTACTTGCAGAGGACTTTAGGCATCAAAGAGAGATTTTTGGCCAATAGTATATTTGAAATTTCCCCATGGGTGGAAGACTCTGGAAACTTAAGGCAGACTGCCCAGTGTAAGATCTGTTTTTCAGTTTAGCTTGAGATCAGATGTTCCTTTCCTTTTCCGATTTCAAGTCAGATCCCTGGGGAGATTGTCAAATGGCATCTTATTTTCAAAAATTTGAAATTCATATGCATTCGCAGAGATGGGGGTTGTGAATGAGAATGTGGAAGAGCACATATTAAACTTCAGCACAATTATAGATTTTCAGAGCTGGAAGGCAATTCAGTGACCATCTCAGTCTGGTGTGTGCAAAGTTTACAGTCCCAAGGGTTAAAAAGACTTGAGTTTCATTCGAGGTCTGCCAGGAAGTAGCAATACAAGCTGAAAGAGTCATATCCTCTCTCCCAACCTCCCATTTATTTTCTATAAAGTGAGGGGATTCTATTAGATAATCTCCAGGAATGTTCCCACTCTCACATTCTATAAATGTTTAATCCATTTACCTCCCTATAAAGGTCAGAAGACTAAGACTCAGGAAAGTCAAGTGACTTTTTAAGTAACTAGTGGAAGAACGGCAGCCACCGCCCATGTTTCCAGTCCCACATTCCTGCAATCTTTCCCTTAGCTTTTTAGAAGCAGAGGGAATGAGCGATAATTTTCATTGTTTGTTTATTTTTTCTGTTTATACAGATTTATTTTTATTTTTATTTTTTTGCATCGAACAGCAAGGTTTGTTGTTTTGATTTTTTTCTTTCTCTCCTTCTAGAGAATTTGTAAGAGGAAATGAGCTTCCTCGTCCAATTCAGTATTTATGCTGGTCGCCTGTTGGGAGTAAATTAGTAAGTGTTTAAATTATAGAAATGTTTAATCATTTAAATAAAAGAGGAGCCATTTGATTTTGGCCTTTGTTACATTTCACTGCCTAAAAGAAAAAAAAAATACATTCATGACTATTTTAGTGGTTAAAAACGAGAAGAGTCTTGATAAATTGAAACCCATCTGAGAATTCCGCAAAATCTCAAGCTCATGGATAGACTTCTTTAAATATCGCAGTCAAAAACTTTATCCTTATACTCAGCCAGAATGCGTTGTGCCAGAAAGCTCAGGAAAAATATGGTTTTCACAAGTTTCCCAGACTAGCTTCAGACAACATGAAATTTTGTCCAAGCTCTTATTTAAGGACTCTAAATAAAGATAAGATCTGGCTAGCTATTAATATTCAGAGATTTATCTGACTTCCTGTCAATATCTATAATAATTTATTTGTATGATAGGACAACTAATATAATAGTAGACTTTATTCTTTGTTTGATATAGACTTTAAAAATCATAACTGATTTTAATGTGAGGTTTTTTTACCTATTAAAATGATATTTTAGTTGGAAGTCTTTTTTGCATCTGGATTGCCACTCTTTTCAAGATATAAGGTGATAATTAAAACAATTATACAGTCCTTGCTGTATTTGTTATGGAATTTCCCCTTGTTGACTAACTTACCACCACTTCTAGGCATATGTTTACCAAAGCAATATCTATTTGAAACAAAGACCAGGAGATCCACCTTTTCAAATAACATTTAATGGAAGGGAAAATAAAATATTTAATGGAATCCCAGACTGGGTTTATGAAGGTAAGCTGTATTCTTTTACTACTGCTGATGTTTCAGGCTTTTAATTGAAAATAATTTTAGATATTTAGTGAAATTTAGATGAGTGGGATCTTATTTCGATGAATAGTAGCATTTCTGAAAGCTTTTATGAGATTATGAATAGGACGTGCATGTTCTAAAAGATCAAAATCTTGTTATCAGAAGACTGGTAGAATTTATTTTCATGAACATTATTATGAAGTGGTAGTAATGTTTTATATTTCAGGAAAAATGTTCCTCAGTTGCTGTGTTAGTACATTTTTTTCATATTTGTTTTTTCTTAAAAAATATTTTTCCCCAAAACTAAGCAACTGTCTACGTTATTTTACAGGAAAATATTCTTAGTTTTTTATACTCTATTGAATTTTGTCCTCATTTAAGTCATGTACAATCCAGGAATTAACTGAACTTTAAAAGGTCTTCTAGTCCCTATCTTCATTAAAAAAAAAAATTCTCAGGAGAGAATTTTAATTTCAATGTTTATGGCACTCTGCTGTACAATTACAGTTCTTTCTGTTTTGGCTACTTTAGGTGACTATAATAAAAACCAGAACCTTCCCTGAAGGGAGATAATAATTATTGCTGACATGTTTATTATTTATTTTTAAAATTACATTTCTGATTAATGTCCATTCCTTACAAGACTAATCGATGTTTGATATAGGGTGTAAAGTTAAACTATTTCTCTTAACTCAGACTTATTTTTTAATAACCAAAGTATAGCATATGTTACATCCACATTAAACAAATTATTTCAGTCAATAAATAGCTATTTAGAAGTATTTGCAAGGATTCTAAGACTAAGATGTAATTATAATTAATATGCTAGCACTTATTTTTCAGAGGAAATGCTTGCTACAAAATATGCTCTCTGGTGGTCTCCCAATGGAAAATTTTTGGCATATGCAGAATTTAATGATACAGATATACCAGTGATTGCCTATTCCTATTATGGTGAGGAACAGTATCCTAGGACAATAAATATCCCATACCCAAAGGTATGTTAAATACTTTTAGCAGACACTTATTTCTCTAGTGTCAAAATGAGCAACCATTACCATGAAGAGAGGTGGGATCAACAAGTTTGGAGAGATCCTTATCCTTGTGCATTGTAAGGCAAACATTGTACTGTGCTCTATTATTTATGTGGACATCTGTTGCTTTGGACATCTGGTTGTGCTCGATGAAGTAGTCTTTGCAAAACCCATTGCAGAATCTTTGAAAAACATATGGTCTAGATCATGGAGGAAAAACAAGCTTAACTTAATTTTAATTTTTTTTTTTTTTCATATTTCATGCTCTAAATTCAGGGTAAAGTTCTGTTTTGCAATTCCCTCTTGAATTCTCATGCAAATGCAAAGTAGAATGGGAAATACAAATGCTGGATTAGATGTTGCCGTTAGGTAGAAGTAGGAATGAGTATTGTCTTTTCTGGACATACAAGGTAGGTGGTTTGTGAGCCTCTGTTTCTCCCTTGAGGGAATCAGGGTGTGAACCCAGAGTTTCTTGTGTATTTAGCATTCTAGAGTTGCTGTCATACATACTTCTCATTCAGTCCCATGTCTAGAGAGAGGAGACCTGACTGTGCAGTTGGAGAATGACCAGGTCACAGTGAAGAAGCATCATATCCTGAGTTCATTTCAGAGAAGAGATCTGAAAGAGGGCAATCAAAGCATAAATGCTTGCACAAGGAATCAGATGTGATTTTAGATTGCAGTTCTTTGTCCTTTGGTCCCTAGTGTTTTTTCTCACCAAAGAGAATGCCATCATGGGTGAATCCAGTGGATCCCTGTATGTGACAGACATGGATGGATGTGGCATACACATGAGTGGATTCTGAAGCAAGCCAATGTGGCCAGAGAGAGAGAAATAGAATACTTATGTTACAAGTCATTTGAGAAGAGGCAATGGATAGGAGAGGAGTGTTTTAGTTAGGAGACCCCTCAAGGGCTGTGTAGAAAGTCTGAAAGCTGGAGATGTTTGGAAGTGAAAGGCCTGATACTTGGCACCAGAGATGTAAAAGAACTTGGATCATTGGGAGGATCTATAGGAGTAGGAAGAGAGAGGAAACTCAAAATTGAGAAATAACTGACCCTGACTGGGAAGTTGGAACCCAATTTGTCACATTTCTTTGAAGACTAAAGTTTCTGAAACGTCTGGCATTGGATGAAGAGGTGGGACAATTCCAAAGAACCAAGGAAATCCCAGCTAACCCTACGAGTGAAACAGAGAGATCCTAGGAGAGACCTAACAGTTCTTTAGTTGAATTTAAATAGCACTGAGTCACGAAGACTGTGTACCTAAGCTTTGTGATTATAAATTTTACTACAACTGTAAGATTCTCTTTATCTGCAGTAAGATAACAGAGGGACTCTAAAAAGCTGTCTAGGCATGACCTATACTGTCATGGAAAGTCAAAGCAAAAAGTATCACAGAAAGCACAAAACAGAAAATGTAAATCCCGTGGACACTTTATTTGGAGGTAAAATTTCCCTAATATTTTGGGAATAGTAGTAGTAGTGATGCAAGCAGCTAGGATACTGAGCATTTGGTGACTGTCCTAGATTATACAGCAAAAGTAAAAAATACCTTTTGTCTATTTCTTCTTTCCACTCTCCTCCTAAACTGATCCCCCTCCATACTCCTCTTAGCACAGAGTTATGACTATTATTAGAATTATCCTAATAATAATAATGACAGAGATGTGTCTTGGAAATCAGAAAAGAGAATATGGATCACAGAACTGCATTTTTATATCAAAAGTATTTTTTTCTATAAATAAACTCTCTCATTAAGCATTTAAAATATGTGTTTTCACTTTAGTTGACATAACATTTCTAATTGCCTTGCAAGTAAAATGGAAGTTCCTGGTCACATTATAAATAGGATGTCTTCAACAGTAATATAATTAACATTATTAGCTGATAAAAAATGCCGAAATTCCTAAGGTGTCTTTAAAATGTTGGTGATAATTGGAATTTTATCAGCTTATATATCTCCATTTTTTTGGCAGGCTGGGGCTAAAAATCCTGTTGTTCGGATATTTATTATTGATACCACTTACCCTGGGCATGTAGGTCCCATAGAAGTGCCAGTTCCAGTGATGATAGCCTCAAGGTAATTAAGCTCAAATCCTTCCCATCTTTTTAACTGAATTTTTAACACTTTGACATTTCTTAATCAGGGTTTACCCATCTTTTCTAGTGAGTTTATGTTGTACATCCTATAAGCAAAAATAAGTAAAATTAGCATGCACAGCTAAGTAAATACATGCTAAATTAAATATTACAAACAAGTTTCATAAACTCGTTTTTAAAAAGTAGCCCTTTTACACATGTAAAGGTGACCACGGTGATTAATCTAAGTGCAAAGGTTCTCAGATGTACAGACGTAAACTTTGAATAAGTAAAAGACAGTAACATTTGTTTATGTCCTCAGCCTGGCTTCTTTCAAGTCTGGCCTACATTCTCTCAAGCCAGAGTTTGTGGATCTATGTGTAACACATGTGCATGATAACCAAGAGAAGAGAAGCCAACCCTCTCCAAATATTGGTATTTTTTTCACTAAGTCGCAGTCTATTCTCAATTATCTGCTTTTGTAGAATTATGTTTGGAGATTAACTGTAGGCAGACAGGGATTTGAAGCATTCTCATGACCCCAGCATGATGCCCTATGTAGATTTCGTCTGATTAGTCTTGACTGCACCAACCTCGCAGCCTGCCAGTCAGTCCTCTGTGGTCTTTCTGGTTGAAGTGGAGAAGGGAGAAGCCCTGCCTCCTTAACACTTCCCAGCACCTGCCAGGCCAAGGCTTGTGTCTTCTCCTCCTGCTTCATGAGGGAGAATCAGCCAGGGCCAAATGACTGATTCCTATTAATGAAAAGAACCCCATCAGAGGCCTCTGCTGGCCTTGCCAAGGTGAGTTCACTCACCTGGATGGACTCATCTTGGATAGTCAAAAATGACATTAATTTTTTGAATTATCTGCTATTCCCCACCCAAATGTAGTTGATGAAAATTTGAATGAATACATCATTTTTTTTAAGTGTCATTCTCTTTAGAGAGCAAATGCAATGGTGGAAAGAGCACTGTCAAAGAAGTCAAGAGGCTTGTTTGAACATCACTAACAATGTGGTAGTAATAGCTAACAAATTTTGAGCACTCGTTACACAGCAGTCATAGTTCTAAAGCACTTTAAGCACTCTCAGCTAATCTTTACAGCAGACTTTAAAATTGGTAATATTATTATCCCATTTTATATAGAAACAGAGGCACAGAATGGTTATGTAACTGGCCTAAGGTTTTATAACTAGTAGGACATAAGGCCAGGATTCGAGCCTGAGACCCCTTTCAGCTCTTTGATTTCTTTCACACCAATGTCCAAATTCTGTGGTTCATTTTATGTTTATGTTCTCTACAAAATCATCCTCAGAGCCAAGTAATCATTGCTGCCAATTATTGACATCTAGATGTGCCAAACACTATTTGAGTTATTTCATATATATCATCTGTGATTATTTCGCTAACCCAAATTTCAACACCCGACCATGGTCACAGCTAAAACTCAGCTTCCAACACAAACCCACGTGGAGACAAAGATGGTCTTTTCACCCTACTGGTGAATTCTCTCTCTCAACTAATTAAAAAGTGAAAATTGAGTTTACCTGTGCAAAATAGCCAGTTTAATGCTTTCTTCCCCTTTGGATTGACCAGTAACATTGGCTTCATGTCTTAAATTCTTTCCTAAGATGTAAAAATCCAAAAATAAGGAGAAAACTCAAGTATGAAATAATTTCATTAGATGAATGAACTCTAGATAGTCTTTAAAAGTCAGCAGATAGATTTAAACTTTCTCCAGAGAAAGGAAAGTTTTATCATCTTTATCTACTGAATAAGTATTCCATAATAATAAAATACATCTTTTAGAACACAAAAATTAAGAAATTATCTGAATGTGACATTTATTAGTTTACGATTGTGACTATTTGTTTTGATTTATTTGCAGTGATTATTATTTCAGTTGGCTCACATGGGTTACTGATGAACGAATATGTTTGCAGTGGCTAAAAAGAGTCCAGAATGTTTCAGTCTTGTCTATATGTGATTTCAGGGAAGACTGGCTGACATGGGATTGTCCAAAGGTAAGGTATATTAAAACGACAGATGTGTACTTCTGAAGATGAAAGCACAATAGTGGGGACTCATTTATAGTTAACATTTTATATTATAAAGCCAGAATCACTGCATTCAACTCCTGATTGCTATGCAAAAAAGCACTGTGTATTCACAGGTCCATCATCATTATTAAGTAGATAGAATACTTCTTGTTTTCTTGAATGATTTTAACCTTGAAATTGAACACAGAAAGAAAACTTAATGAGACAATGTAACACTGAGAAAATCAGGTATTTGGTTCTCTATTAGGATGATAATATATCCTTTTAAGATCATAAGATTAGCAGTCAAAAAAAATAATGAAGATGAAAACATAAGATGGATCTAGTAGGAGAATAGATGTGTTTTATACATAGAACCAGAGAAAAATGCAAATGAGGTATGTTTAAGTCAATGTAAAAATTGAAAAATAAAAATTTTGAAGGAAATATTATCAAAAGAAAGCCAAATATTCTCATTTTAAAATCAAAAGTGGATGACTGACAACGTAACATGAAATATTAGATCAAATTATACTGTTTTCCAGTTGTCTTAGGAGAGTGTCCCATACTATACTAATTTGGAGGTTGGGGGGAACTTGAAAATTAGTCACAGATCTATTGTTGAGTTTTGATTGTTTATATTGCTCAAATACAAACATAATCTGTTGAATTAATGAGCCAGAAAACTACTTCACCAATCCAAAAGCTTTAAAATAAGCCTGTTCTTAAGTACTCATATTAGAGACTAAGAAATATGAAATGTTTTCTTTAAATAGGAAATTTGATGGGTTCATTGGATGAGACTTCTAATTATGAAGAAATGTTTCATTAAACCAAATATAGAATAAACCTATTCTATAAAGAAGAAAAGCGGAGAGCAATCAAAGTAAATCACTAAATTCCAACTAGAAATTAGGACATAATGTTTTGCAAGGAAGAAGTCATATGAATGTGTTTGGAAATATAACAGAACTATAATAGTCAACATTACTCAGGCTAAAAATATTTTTTTAAGTCACTATTGTGTCTGTAAGAGGCTTGACTAATTTTGATGGAATATGCTAGAAGCTTATTTTTATCTTATTTATATTTTGGTATACAAAACAGAAAGATGTTGGCTTTAATGCACTATTATAGGCAAAAAAAACCAAAACAGATAAACTAAGCTTGATTATGCTAGTTAATTATAAACCATTGGTTTAATTAGTCAGCTTTGAGTGAATATACTGTTAACATTTTCACTGAGTCTAGGTTTTATGAACTATTGCTTTAATTTCATTAGTTTGAAAATGATGAGATTTGTCATTTATACACAATTTTTAGCTCCTAAAGCTAGGCATTTAAAAACTGTAATTGCTTTGAAATCTAAAATTCTAATTCATCAAAATCTGAGACAACTTTAATCCAAAGTGACAGAACATTTAAGATGCTCATTCACTGAGGTGTGAAAGTCCCTGGAATATAAACTATAGTTTTATAGCCAGAAAACAGTGATTAAATTTAGAATACTATATTTGAATAACCTTATGATTTCTAAACAACCTTTGTTTCAAAATAGTCTGATAAGTACTTGGGAGACATTTTCAGATTTAAGAATAATAAATTTTGAATTTCACAGCAGCTGTACTCTTGACTGATGTGTGTGTGTACGTGTGTGTTTGGAAAACAAATAATATTTAAGGTTAAGTGAGTTAGCAGTATTTTATTCATGTTGGGAGTCATACCCAAAAGAAAGAGACAAAGAAAACTGGAAGTAGTTACTTGTAATAATATAATTATGTTAGTGAAATTTATTAAGAAATTGGTGATTTGGAGAAGAAACATCTTTTATAATATTCTTCCTCTTCTGAAAAGGGGTTTATCAAAATTAATTTTATCTTTATGGCTAAAAATAATGAATCAAAAATGTTCCACTATTTTTCAAGTCTTGTCTTACTTGTTCTCTCTGAGGCACTAAACTATTCCTATAGGAGAAAATCCAAACAGAGTTCTTAAAATTTATTATTCCCCTGCTTTTTATGACAGTATACCCTCTCGTGTTTCTCCTTCTGTTTCACTGACTGTTCTTTTCCTTTCCAGCTCTTCTCTAACTTCTCTAGAAATCTTATTGTTCTCAAGTTAATGTATTTGCAAAGTAGGCTAACCGCAATAACAACAAAAACCTCCAATAATTCAGTTGGTTAATACAGTTGAAACTTATTGCACATTCATATAACCATCCAATAGTGAGTCCAGGTAAGTGGGGTATGATGAGGAGTGGGGGATGGAGAACTCTGCTCCACACAGTCATTCAGGAAACCAGGTGATAGCATTTCTGCTACCTTCATCCAGTGGCTTCCAACACTATTCCAAAATTATTCAAACCTGAGCATCAACATCCATCTAGATGATGGAGAAAAGAATGGAGGATCCTGTATGAGAGGGTTTTAGGGACTAGCCCTAGAAGTGGCATGAGTCATTTCTGCTCAAACACCATTGGCTAGAATTTACCACGTGACCACACCCAACTGGAAGGGAGTCTGGGAAATGTAGCCTAGCTATAGCCCTCGTCAAAAGAGGAAGTGGTCTGCTGTCTCTGTCACAACAGTCTATGTACTCTCTTTGGGTGATTTTTATCTACATCAGAGGATTCTGTTACCACTTGCCAATACTCTCAAACTTATTCCTGAGGATTTGAACTTTTAAATATCTGTGACTACATCTTCTCTGCTCCATTCTCACTAGTATGACCTTGATTTGGGTCTTTATCCTTCTTTTCCCACACATTACAATAGCTTTCCAATTAGTTTCTTTCCTTCCTTCCAGCTTTACCCACTTCTAATCCATTCTCTGTATCATGTTCACAATTATATTTTCCAAACTGTGAATTTGAAATCCTTCAAATGATGTGTCTACAGGTGAAGTTCAGTAAATGATCAATTGGATTATGCTAAAATATAAGCCAGAATAAGATTTGATGCAAATTTTTGAAATTTCTTGCTACTTCATAAGACTGAGAAAAGAAAGTATTTAAATTCCACTGTGAAATTTCTTTTTAACTACACCATATCAAGTTCTTGGGTTGTGTTGGGCCTCCATAGATGTTGTGATCATTCCAAGTCACTGCCTCATGGAAAATTTAACCAGAATTATTAAAGCTCTTCGATTAAATCCAGCACTTTGATTACTCAGAGATTGCTCATGTAGGTGCAACAGTGCTGTTACACAAGATTTTTAATGTAGTTCTCTGAAACTCAAGTTTGAAGTTAGTTGACCAGCAGTAGTACACTGTGACCAGGCAGGTTAACTGGCTCCAAATGTCCAGATTATACTTAAGAAAAAATGTTTTCCTAATACTATGTTTGATGTGATCTTCTGTCTTTTAGAACCAGGAGCATGTAGAAGAAAGCAGAACTGGATGGGCTGGTGGAGTATGATTTTGCTATCTTTTCCTTATATTTTAATGAAACTTGACAGATTCTCTTCTATCAAAGGACTATTTGCAATGTACCCAAACTGGCACTCCTTGTTTTCATAGAAAAAAATATCAAGGTAAAAAACACAAAGATATTGATTTCTTCAGTGATTTTGTGCCAGTCAAAATTCTAATGTCTATATTTTTAGAATTCTGTTAAGAACAAAACATATTCTTCAAGTCCCAACCTTAAGTTTTTCAACTGACTCCCTGATACCTGTAACTAATATTACTTCTTAAACAAATACAATAAAGATAATTTTTCAAAAAGTACCCAACGCATGATCTGCTAAAACCATCAGAATAATTATAGCCATTTAAATTCAGGAAAAGTAAATACATTGCGTATCCTTATAATTTAAAAACAATTTACATATGATTAAATTTTATATAAACTGAACTGAATTTCTTGTATGTATATTCATTCCAGTTTTTAAGTAATGATTTGGTGTCAAAAAGGAAAATATATACTTTATTTTGGTTTGTGGTCACTTTTATCTGGAAGTTTTGGATAGGTTTATTCAGTGATTTATGAGTAATTTAGTGCAAAAATCTGTTTTAAGGAAATATCAATGGTATCATACATCCTATATGAAAATACAAAATAGGTCAGAGAAAAAGTGGATGTTGTGTGGATTCTGCCATTTATCACGAACATACTGAATTCAACTAGCATTTACGGGGGTGGGGCTCCTTCTCTGAGATTTGGACATGTAACTGTACAAAGAACAAGGAAACTCTCAGGACCTAGTTTAACACATTAACCCACTGTACAAGGACTATAAAGAATTCAGAAGTCAATTCTGAGATAAGTCATAAAAAATTCAAAGTTAAAATGGCTGCAGAGAAGGTAAACTGTAAAGTAAAAATGTTCAGATATTAAAAAAAATCCTTACTGTATATTTTTCTGGATTCAGAGCTTTTGGCTTACATGCTATTATATTTACATTCTGTCCTCAATTAAAGATACTCCAGTTTTATTCATTAACTAGGGAAGAGTTATTACTTTATTAATCTACATGCAATAAATGCAAATTACATTCTGAGGCAACAAGAATACAAGGATAGGTATGTAATTTTTTTTTTTAAATGTGGAAGTCCTATTTGAATTCACTTTTTGCCACTGTACTACATATCATAAGAAAAACTAGCAGTATCCAGTGGGAAAAAGTATTCTCTAAATGTTCTGGATTCTTGATCAATCAGAAGCTCACCTTCTGGAAAGGCAACACTTACATCAGTATTTAAAATTTTGAGGAAAGAGGAAAGTTAATCAACTAATTCATTCCCATTGCAAACATTTCTAGTAATAAAGTGAGCAGAGGGAAGAATGCTTAAAAACATCCTATAGTTGTATTCTCCATAATGATAATGCAACTAGACTTACTATAAAATAGTATGAATGATGTGATTTTACAAATAGATTAGAAATGATACCAACAGCCCTCTCAAAGACATTACCTTGGACATTCAAACACATTTATTCTGAAAATGATACAGTGTTCAAAACACTCAAACATCTTCAAAAGAAACTTTTGAAAGCTCTTGTTTATAAGCATCTTAAGGACAATGATATCTTAATTTTAAAAATCTTGCATTCCAGTCTTGCACCAGTCTTGCATTCCAGCAAATGGGAGCTGGGTGGATGAATGAACAAATGAATGAATTGCCTTGTAAAGATGTAGAAAAAAATTTTAAATACCCTCAGTGGAGGCACATATGTGTCCTTTGAGAGAAGATAATGTCCCTACATTAAGTCAAAAGTCATGCCAAACTAAATGTAGTGAATAAATGAGTTACTTATCTGGGACAAGTGGTTTTGTGCCAGATTACTTTCATATCTATAGTTTTAGAATTCTGTTGGGAACAATCTATTTTTCTTATGTACTAATTTCAATCTCTTAAAATTTATCCAATAGACAGTAAATCTTCTAAATTCCAGAAGAGGAATTGTTAAAAACTCTTTGCAATGAGAGCTTTTAAGAGTAAGTTCACACCCTCCCAAGGTGCCTACTTTGAAGGGGTCACTTACTAGATTTTATAAGTTCTTACATGCCTTTTGAACAAATCAGGCTACAAATTTATATAGTCATAACATATTGTACAGCTTCCTTTGATATATAATCAAACTAGTGACTGAATGAAATTAACCAGAAAAAACCCTAGAAATGTATATATGTATTTCAGACATTTGTTCAAGTAATATTTATAGGATTTTTAGATAAAGTGTATAGGCTAGTCATATTAGTATAAATTTTAAAAGCAGTTTTAGAGAAGTGGTTCTTCCAGAATTTATCAAAGAGATTTAAACTGAAAAAGGCTTTCAGAGATTGCCTATGAATTAAAAAAGTGAGATTACATGACTTGCTAAAAGTAACTGTCCTGTTAGTTGCAGGTGCAGAACTAGCAGATAGGTTTTCTGAGAATTTACTTGTCACTTTCTTTCTTCCAGCACTGGCACATCCAGTGTCTTCATTTGGGTAACCTAACTTCTTCTTTGGCATTTGATCAGAAAAATAACAACAAATTCACTTCATATAAATTGCTTTTTGCCCTGTAGGGGACAGACAAAAAAGGACTTAATCAAAGAACTTAGTATTTAATCCCTTACATTTGGAGAATGAGCATTGAAAGCATAATGCTTAGACTGCAAAACCATACTTAAATTATATAAAAATAATTAAGCGGTACGCTACACCTTCTTTAAACTGTTGGCAAAAATCTCTTGATTCAATAAAGTGAATTTTCTACTTGATGTTTGAAAGCCTGTGCTTTTGACTAGATATGGACTCAGTTTAGGCATCAGCCGTAGGTCATTTAACAACCCAGGTGTGTGTGCTTATCTAGGGCCCAGGTGTGACTTGCTGCATGAAGCACTTAACTCAGAGTGCATTATGGGCCTAGCTCTGGCAAAGTGAATGCGGAAATATTTCACACTCTCTTTACTTCACCCAAGTTACCTGTCCGTCTGAAGCAGCTGTCTTCAATGTGTGCAGTGAAAAGGGAGAAGATAAGTCTTTGCTTAGCAGAAATATTCTTCCTGTTTACCTGATTCTATTACCTTAAAACATAACATCCTGCCCTGTTATTTTTTTTTTTATTTTAGATGGAAATGAAATTTTAAGTTTTGGTCTAGAACAAAATCTTTTCAAATTTAACTAACAGACTGCAAGAGTGCAGAGAATTTTTTTTTTCTTTTTTTTTTTTTTTTGAACTATTGTACCTTAAGATTTTTTGTGACCCAGGTTTCATTTTAATGATTAAGACAATGTAGGATCAATTTTTGACTTTCACACTAAGGAATAAGAAGGAGACATTCTAAAGAGGTTACTAGTAAGTAAGTATATCATCACTTGGCTAAGTGGGTAAAACTTCATTCTGAAATGAAAAAATGATTTTGTCAATGATCTATACTAATGAAATTCTATCCACAAAGTTGCAAATCAGAGTTTCCTATCCCTGGGCCTCTTGGTTCTTAATTTAATTTAGAGGCATTAGTCTCAATATGCAAAAGCCAACCAAGGTTGGTCTTTATTATTAATAAAAACTAATGAAGGAATCATGTAAGAAGACAGCAATTTCTCATTATCCCATTTTCCATTTTGTTAAAATTTTGTGAAAAGAAAAACTATAGAAAAATTAAATTTAGCAGAATTTATTTGGGCAAACAAGTCACAAATCAGCTACACTTAGAACCAGAAGAGGTTCAAAGAGCTCTGCCCAGCAACTTGAGCAATGAACTTTTATAGGCCAAACACAGAAGCACAGTAGAGAAATCACCTGATTAACTACAGCTAGAAGTCTGCCTTATTTGGACATGATGTGATGAGGACTTTGCCTTATTTGGTCACGGTATGAGGAGTTGACTGCCTGTGATTGGGCAAAACTCACCCTGACCCTAAAAGAGGTCAAACTAGGGAAATGAGGTCAGTCTGCTTCCTGAGCTCAAGAAGTAAACCTCCCTCATCATGGGTTAACATTTTTCTTTCAAGTCCAGAGTTTCCTACCCACCATTAAAAATTGTGGCTAGCTAGCTATGACATTTTAATCTTTAAAATATTTTCATTAAGTCATTGGCATTAGGTGATTGGCATCAGACAAATCAAGAATTAAAAGGGCTATAAGTGTTAATGAGAGTTATATTTTGGTAAAATACCTTAATTTAAAGTTTGGGTTGGTTAAATATCAACATTCAGTTATGATTCTTGTAACTGTTTCAAACTGTATAACCTTAGAACATAGAAATCCAATCAAATTAAACATTGTAAATCAACGGGTATGCAGTAGCAACCAAGCAGTAGTTGGAATGTGCAAGTGCGAGTTAGAATCACTAGAAAAGGTGTGTAGCTGAAAGAATGGAATTTCAGATGTGAGTGACGGAAGACAAGGGAGGCAAGGCATTCTGATTCCTGTAAATATGGCCATATACTGCTTAAAAAATAATCTATGGTTTTGGTTCGGTTTGTCTTTTGAACATAACCTCTGTTCAATTTCTTTCAGTTCTTTGTTTCAACACCAGTTTTCAGCTATGATGCCATTTCATACTACAAAATATTTAGCGACAAGGATGGCTACAAACATATTCACTATATCAAAGACACTGTGGTACGTTTCTTCCAAGATTTATCTCCTCAAAGATCATTCACTTGAGGTTGCTCAAATAACGCTCAGCTTCACACAACATAATGTTTGTCTTTTTATAGGAAAATGCTATTCAAATTACAAGTGGCAAGTGGGAGGCCATAAATATATTCAGAGTAACACAGGATTCACTGTAAGTATTGCACAAAGCAGGATGCGCCATTCAGTTTTTAATTGGCACCGATGGACGTACAATGGATACAGTACCATCTCTCTCAGTTAAGAGCATTTTTGTTACTCTGTAATTTAGTTCAGACAGCTGTAAGTTCATTACGATTACACATTCTTTAAAAACTGGTCAACATCATTTCCTTTTGGAAAGAATTTTTAGCAGGTGGTCATTCTCTTCTGTTATCTGGTAGATAATTATATAAAACATAAAAATTTTAATAACTGGTTCTAAAGGCAAATTTTATTCTTCAGCACTTGAAGCAATATGCAAGCTTCAAAATTCCACAGAAGGCAGTCTATAGATATGGAAAATCTTTTTGTAGTGAGTCTCTTATGTAAGTTTAAGATTATTATCTATAACAGCTATCATTTATTGAGCAATTACTGTGTACAAGATATTATAAAGGAGAAGTGATTATCCCAAGTTTACAGATGAGAAAACTGACACTCAGAAAATTTAATTAAGTTGGCTAGAGGATTCAAACCTATAGCACATTAAATCTAAGGTTCTTATTGTTAACTTCAACATGGGACCTCTTTCTTCCAGTTGTTTCCTTTTCAGTCACTCTTGCATACTATCTAAATAAACCATGTTAAAATAATCATTTATGAAAAAGCTTCTCTAATCAAGAATATGCACATCCTTTCTCTCACTTCTAATACAGTCTCAATCCAGGGGTCCTCAGTGCTCATAGTCTGCCTGCCATTAGGTGGAGTTCCAGGAGCAAAGGGGGAGAATCGAATCATTAGTCCAGACTCACTGGATGACAACCTGTCAGAAACCTATTGCCAGTCTACAGAACTCTTTGAATGGTGGGCAAAGGAGTGTGGACATTATATGGAACAGCTATTAAAATTGCTAGCGTAACAGGGGTGACAAGATTAAAAGAGGTGGGAGATTAATTTCGACCATAACGTGATTAGGAAGTAAGAAAAACCGAAGGTGGAAAGACCCAGCTACAGTTATAATCTAGGCCTGAGGTGATAGAGTCCTGAACTAGAATAGTGGCAATGAAGCACAGACTCTGAGGACAAAACTACGCCTCCTCCTTTTTTTGTGTCCTTCTCTGTGTTAGTGCTTAACATGGAGAAGTTCAATACGTATTTGTTAAATGAATGAGAGAAAGGGGTAGATGGTAAAGACAGATGGAGGCTGAACAGGGCTGATGAATTACCGGCTGTAAGGCGAAAACGAAAGGGAAAAGGGACTCTGCTGAACGAGTTAGAGATGAAGACAATTGAGGAACCTATGACCTAACAAGATAGCTGCAGGGGGCTGTTTGGAAAAGATACTGAGCAGTGTATTCACAGGCGGTTTGAGATAATGTGCGAGAGGCAAGCGAAAGTTAGACTGGAGTCGTGCGAAGTCAGTAAAGGCATGTAGAAAGACGCTAATTTAGAAGATAAATTTAATACTGCGAATGAGTTGTATTCTTTTTGTCTTTTCCTTAAAAAGATTTTTATGATAATAAGGATGTGCTTGTAGAAGTAACTAGACTGCTGAACCTATCCTGAGAATGACACCAAGCCTTGGTTATTCCAAACTTTTCACATGCTATTATGCTCTTCCTGGGGGGAAAAAAAGACAGTTACTTTATGATATTCAGATGAATTCACAGAGAAGTGATAATCATGTCACTAAACTGGATTTCCCACTCATGGCTATATTAAGACAGGTTAGAACTGGCACCTGGATACTTAAGTAACGGTTATGTTCTCTTATGACTTGTTTTGCATCTGGGTAAATTAACATGCCCTTTGTGGGGTGTCCCAGAGTGGAGGAGTTTCCCTGATTTAGCAAACTTATCTATGGTCAGGGCTTCTGAAAAAGAAATTCAAAATGTGTTCAGAATCATAGATCAAATTAAATAATACAGTACAACAAAGAAACTGGTAAACTATCATTAATCATAAAAAAGAAAAGGTATAATATTAGTCAAATATCCTAGTTTATTTGCAAGGCTCATAATTAATGAATTAAAATATAATGTACTTACAATAAAAAAGAGTACTCACCATAGTTGAATCTTCCTCTGATGATTTGGAAGTCAGACAGAGCAAGTATCCCAAATTCAGTTAAGAAAAGCAGCAATTTGTGTACACAAATGCCAAATAATAGTTTCATTAGATGAATGCTTGCCATATTGTGTACTATATTAGCACTTGTCCTAACAATTCTATTGTTATTTAATCATTAATACCTAGTTAATAATTTTTTAATGTATTTTCAGGTTTTATTCTAGCAATGAATTTGAAGGTTACCCTGGAAGAAGAAATATCTACAGGTAATTTATGTCAATCCATTCTAGTATTTATATATGTATTGAATTTGAATAAAAATATGTCATAGTCCTCAGGATATGTAGAATATTTTTTTAAAAGTACAAAACGTAATAAAAATCATTTATAAATTAAGATAAAACATTTAGGGAATGTTGTGTGCATTGGTATAAAAAATACACTCACAAAATGTTGGCCAACTCATAATGATTGTTTTCAAAAAAAGAAATCAAGAAATTCTAATGCTGATATAAATACTAAATATTATTTATATTGTAGTAAATACTTTAACTAAATTTAGAGGTAACTGAGGACATTTATTTATTCAACACACATTTGTTAAGTACTTACTGTGTATCAGACATTGTTTCGATTCCCATAATATGTGATTTCTTTTACTGTGGCTCACTTTGGCATAAGTCATCTCTGTTCCTATATTAGAATTTAAGTTCAGTCCAGTTGTCCCCTTGGTGATTGGAATGGTACTCTCAATACCCCCATCTGGATGTGGAAATAAAAACAATAATTACCATGTGCTGGTAGTCTACTATATGCCAAGCACCTTTTTATCTGATTTATGTATGAAATTTCATTTAATATCCTCAGCTCTACTAGGCAAGTAATGTTGTTGGAACCAGGATTTGTTACCTTAGCATGCTGACCTCTGATCTTTCAGTGTTAATTGCTTCCCTAACATTTCCAAGATCACACCAAAATTTGGACATGAACACTAACCATAACAGAGGAAATAAGAAATTTCCCTCTGTCATATTCTTCTGTTCCTCCTGGATCATGATCTTACCTTGTCTGTTAGGAAGAAGCCCTCTATGGAGCCAGTGATGTCTCTGGCCACCCTCTGCCATGCCCAAGGCAAGGTCATGGGCCAGCAGCAGAAGGAATTCTGAGGTGGCACGGGTAACCCTGACAGCCACAATGGGTTCTGACCTTGACCCCATGATGGCTTAACACCATCTAGTCTCACCCAAATGGGATTCTGATTTGGAGGATTTGGATAAGGTCCAGGAGTCTATATATTAAAGCAAATAACCCCACTCAGGTACCACACAGAGGGCTCTGCAGGGATGAGTGTGGGACCAGTGTGGTAGGTACAGATTGGCTTGTGTAGAATGTGTGCAGGGAGTATTCCCAGGCTGAGCTTCCATGAGCGTAAATGTCCTACCAAAAGCAATGAACGGCACAGGAGGCATTTAGAACCGTGACTTCTTACTTCCAATTTGCTTAGTACTAATAACTCCCTCCAGAGATGTGATTAAGAACAGAGACCCCGTTCTTGTTGATAATGCCAGAATTTCCTGGCACGTTTTGCCAGGATGGTAGAAAAAGAGAGCTGAGAAGATGAAGAACTATGCATTCCCAACCACTTTGTAAAGTGTCAGAGATTAATGGTTATGAGTGATGACCTCACTCCCGTTTGAGGTGTTAGATATTTCCCACTCCAGGAAAACCGCAGAGGGCTTCTCCCTCAAGGTTTGTGCCTATTCAGGCAAAGATGGATCAAAAATCAAGTTACATCAAAATACTGTGATTCCCCTTTACTTTAAATGATATTGGCAACAGAAAAATAGAGTGGGTTTGATGTCAATATGTAAATTAGTCACTTTACATGGAGTAGTACATTTTGATAAATACAATTTCAAAATTTCAGCTTAGTTTTATTTTCATTTCCCTCTAGAATTAGCATTGGAAGCTATCCTCCAAGCAAGAAGTGTGTTACTTGCCATCTAAGGAAAGAAAGGTGCCAATATTACACAGCAAGTTTCAGCGACTACGCCAAGTACTATGCACTCGTCTGCTATGGTAGGTAACGGACCTCACATAAGCCCTTCCATCTCCCCTGCCATCATCACCACCGTCACCACCATCTGATCAACTAACTCTTAGCTGCAGGTTATTGAGCACTTGTTATGTGTAAGGAACTTATCTAATGCTTATGAAAAAAAAATGAAAGGAAGATAGAAGGCATTAACATCCACACTTTTTTGCAGTTGAGGAAACTGAGAGTAACTTGCCAAAGGTTTAAACTGCCGATAAACATTGCCAGCACTAAAGCCAGTGTCTGGTGCCTCGAAATCCATGCTCTTGACCATGACGTTCCACAGCACCATGATGTTGCATGCAGACACAATCTAACAGCTACCTATGGCAGGATTTGAGTGATGTCATAAAAAGACGTGTTCTATGATAAAATGGTTGCTGGACTCTGGCCCCATTTGCCTGGAGAAATGTTATATTCCTACATCCAGGGAAAAGAACAATGTCCTAGAAACATTAGGTTTTTTTCTTGGAGGCCAATCATTTTTCTAAGTGTAGTTTCAATGGGGATAGAAAATGAATTTTTGTCACTCAGTATGTCCTTTCTAAATGTGGAAACATAAGTAATTTATTCAAATATAAAAAAATCATAGGTAATAAAATATACATTTCCTGAATGTTTAGGCTATGTATACATTTAATGAATAATTTCTATTGAGATAATTTTATTTTATGCACATTTTATCTGTATCTTGAACATGTGGCAAGCAATAAAACAGGTTAGGTTAGGAGATCAGTATAGATCAGTGAAATATATTAGGGTCTTAGCAGTCATCGTGGGGACTTGGAAAACTAACTTGAAAAATCTCTCTTCTCCAATCTCTATCTCCTTCTCCCAGCTAATCCCCAATTTGGTGGTGGGGGTGGAGAACTTGGTGGAATATTTTATAAAATGCATGCCACCGTCCTGTTTCTGGTATCAACTCCCCATGAGGTTGGGGGTGGCTTAGAGAATAAATGGAACCTTTGACTAATTGAGATCCTTGCTCAGTTGCAGAGGCCCCAAGGTTACTGTTAAAGGAACCATAATGAAAGCCACCTTGGCATGCCACTTCCCTCAGTCTAGCCATCCGACCTCAGAACCTGAGCCACAGCTCATTTGCCTATATAGACATGAATAAGCATTTTAACCCAAATGCTCCCTTCAAAATGGCACAAGATGTCAGTTTGAAATAACACTTCTATAAAAGTGGCCAGTGGCAACTTTGAAATGTCAAGAGATTGTTGATCATGGCTCCATGTGTTGATTGTGGTTATGGCATTTAAAGGTATACATTAACTGTCTCTCTCAAGTTATATGCAACATTTTTCAACCCAAGCTATGTATTCATGCAACATATAGCAAAAGCTTACATACCAGGCATGTGGTATCATTCAACTTACCACACTGAGTCATCTGTTTATCTAGCTTTCTATCCTGGAAGGCAAGGGTGCTTTCCTGTAATATTTGTATTCATAAAACAAAGAAGAATATCTAATACATAATAGACAGTCAGTGTTTTCAGAGTAAACATAAGTGTTAGGGAATATCAAAGCATTACTGTCTTTTGCAAGGCCTGCTGAAAAAAAATTCATTTTATGCTGATGTATTTGCTGATAAAGGCATCAGTGGCTCTACACTTATATACATGCATGTATATTTATATGCATTCTGCATTTGTATAATGCTTTAACATTTTTGGAGAGCAGTACACCACATTTTATAGCACTTTGTCTCCATAATGTCTACTTGAGCAGAAGTGCCCACTGAAGAGATAAGGAATCAAAGACAAAGCTCTCATCAGAAGTTGGTGAAAGAGTCCTTTCTAGAACTTGAATTGCCTGACTTTTCCACCACTCACTCTTCCTCGGCAGTATGGTAATTTCCCATTTAGCAAAAAATACACTGTGTGGGAAGCATCACATCGTCTGGTGTTTTTGAAGCTCCAGTAAAATGAGTCACAGAGCCATCATAGGAAAAACCTTGAAATCTTTCCCTTTAGGACTAAGAGTAAAGCCTCATTATGTAACTTCAAACTCTCCAGAGGGTTGGGGAGTAAGTCCCAGGTGAGAGGATTAAAACAGGTAAAGTCATATCGATGATGCTGATGGCACACAAACAGTGCAAAGGAGGAATTCTAGACAATCGGTGTTGAGGCCACTAGAACCACACCCTCCCGGCCACCATGTCAAGAGGAGTCATTAGTTTGTCTCATAGTGTAGGCAAAAAAGAGAAGCAAATTTGCATCACCAATTGCACACCCATGAAAATTCCACAGGGTGGGTGCTGGTTGATTAGTCTAGAAAATTAGATTTATTACACTCTGGCCAAAAATGTAATATGTGCGCTTGTCCCTTTTGATAACTTTGAAGAAAAACTGACCCAAATGAAAATCTCTGCAATTATGTTCTATAAAATTCTGAGATTCCACACAAGAACTGTTAGATTATGAGGGGGCCTTATAAATTATAACCCTTTTCCCCATTCCCAAGTTAGATTACAGAGTCAGGCAGGAAATCAAAATATTAGCTTTATTACCTGTAAAGGCTAGTTGGATAATGTGGCTAACATATGCAATTTCTTATACCCAGAATTACAATTATTCACACAAATGTGGCTACAACTGGGTAGTCCTTCCCCATGGGGCCTGGCCCTGGCATAGGTACATCGCTGAGGAACATATCCAAAAACATGTTCTCTGCAGGCAGAACGATGCCAGGAATGAGAAGGAAGGAGCTACTCAAACCCAGGTTTTCTCAGAACTCACCAAAAACTCTTTTCTCCTTTGCTTTGCATGGGACTACTCTAATGGCCTTCTCTCCATACAGAAGGAAGCCCTGTGGGTGGCAAATGAACATCTGCTCCCAGCCCCCACATATGTAGCTTTTAACCCATTGAATACCTGAGCAAATTTACGCTTTAAAAGTGTATTTCTAGATATTATTTGACTCTATAGGTCAAGTAAGTGATAGATAATTAATGTTTAAAATGGTCAGTTTTTGCACAGAGAAGCTGAATTCTATGTTGGAATGTGTAGTGGACACTAGAGTGCCAGCCAGACCCCCACCTTCAGGACTGACTCATTCATTTCTCCAGCTGCTGAGAAAGTTGGTGATCAACAGGACACATCCAATGACTGCCTCATGCTGGGGGATAAAAATCTGCCCCCTTGCCCCGTTGGAGACAACTCTGAAGGTCACCTAGCTCCACAGTTCCCCTGGGGGTTGGTTAGGGTCTCTGTGTGACAGCACTGGTTCCACCTTCTCTCCCTTCCCCGTCCTTCTCTCCTTCCCCCACAGCTGTGCATCCTATACCATCTCTTCTCCCAATAAACTTCTGCCCACAAACCTCCTTCCGGATCTGTTTCCCAGGGCATATGACCTGCCACAGTATGTCTGAAAAGGAAACATATTCTATGTAAATTTATTTCTGCATGTATTAGTTATATGGGGGAAAAAAAAGATGCTGGATTTTATCCACCAAAATAAATTGAAAATTGAACCAAGAATCCAGATTGAAAATACAATCTGGGCACAGGTGAAGCTTATTTGGTAATAAAGAAACCGCTAAAAGTGGCCCAAAAGAGCATGATGTCTTCCAGAAGGCCATTTGTCACTGAAGCTTCTGGGGTCCATTTGTGTAATTAGATCTTAACTATTCAGGATTATTCTTGGAAAAGTACACAGGCAACGCTTTTCTCACATCTGTTCTTTGACTGGGCTCTGATCTCGTGTTGTTTAAATGTAACTTGAAAGGTGATGTTTATTTCTCTATGGGAAAAAAATAGCTGTAGAATTAAAAGATATACTTGGGCTTGACACTACATAACAACAAATACTACCAGCAGTCCTGGCTGAAAACTAAGTGTTATTGTAACACTAAGCCGTGTTTTTGTCTTCGTCCTGTGCACAGGTCCAGGCTTCCCCATTTCCACCCTTCACGATGGCCTCACTGATCAAGGTACCCTCTCTGGCATGCGCTTGTCTTATCTAAGTAATCCTGACCTGTGTAATACTCCACTAGGGAAAGCAGGACAGTTTCTCCACACTGACAAGGAGTACCAGAACGGGATTCTATCATCACACAACTTATTATTACACAGATTTGGATATTATTTGTGTCAAACCTGATTATATGAAATTTAATAATAATTTGCAGTGAAAACCTGGCATAACGCAGATGAGTTACATCAGAGGGATTAATTCTATCTTCCCTAACTAGCCTTATAAAAAAGCACAGAAGGTTAGAATTGGAAAGAATTTAGGATAGTCAGTACAATTTCCCTCCCAAAAGGAATTCTTGGAGTATTGGGGGGGGGGGGGGTTTTGTTGTTGTTGTTATTGTAACTGTCATCCCGAACTAGAGACAAATTCTAGACAAAACTTTGGAGGGTGACTATCACGCTAGTTTTTTGCTTTAACAGCTACATCACATGTGCCACATAAGAAAGCCCTGAAATTTGTACATTTTCAACTGCTAACAAGATAGTCCTCCTCTTTCCTGTATTTGTGATATTGGTTCAAAATAGTTCACAGCTCAAAGATGACCGTTTTTTTTCTCAACAGAGTTATCCAAGTGTATGATGCTGATGCACTTCCTGCTGGTCCCCCATTTATCTTTTTATTTACTATTAAACAACTTTATAAGGTTGGATTTGTTAGAGATCAGGGACAATGGGGGACAAGCAGATGTCCCTTCCTTCAGCACTTATGCCTATGATTGTCCCTGGACAGCTTGGGTGACAAGTCAAGTACAGTTCCACAAACTTGCCCAGTGATGAAATTCTTCTGATGTATTTATTGTAAATACCAATTCTCAGGCTCTTCTCAAAGATTCCAATTCAGTAGATCTTGGATTGTGCTCAGGAATCTGTATTTTTAATAAATGTCCAGCTACTGTTTTAGAGCAGAGGCTGTGTCTTCTATTTATTTGTAGTTTTTTTCACTCATTTTCCATAGCATTTGGTGCCAGCAATCTTCATTCAACAAATATTTGTTGAGCACTTACCACATTAAGCCGGACATTGTGCTAGGTACTAGATCTATAAAATGAATACATACTGGGTTAGACATTGTTCCTGTCCTCAAGGAGATTATAGTTCAGTGTGGAATGAAAATGTACGAATGGGCAGTTACAATAACTGTGAAGGTAAACTCCTAAGGGAAAATACAGAAAGCATGAAAGCACATATTGAGAGCACCTCTTGTGGGTTTTTTGGGTTAAAAAATGTTTCCTAATGATAGCTACATTGAACCTGATACTCATGAATATGAAGGAGGGATGCTGTTTGGATGATTGGCTTGGTCAAGTAGATTGACATTAACTAATGCTTTTTACTAAAAGAAAGGACTCACTGTGGAGAGCAGGTTTTGGGGGAGATGATAAATTTTGCTTTGAATGTTGACTTTGAGGTACTGTTGGGATATCCAGGTGCACATGTTCTGTAGTGACATAGTTTTGGATCTAGATGTCAGTGGGTCAGTTTAGGCTAAAGATAATGATCAAGAAGTTATTAGTTTATGAAATACATGGTTACTGGGGCCTTAGAAGTGGATGAGATTAGCAGAGAGGGAAAAATGAGAGTGGATGGGATTAGTGAAGAATGAGCCTAGAACAAAACTGTGTGAAAAACCAACACTTGAGAACCGGAAAAAGAAAAATGAGCCTGTAAAGGAGACTGAGAGGGAACAGAAGGATGGAGACAATCTTGAGAGTACAGAGTCGTAGAAAGCAGGGGAGGAGAGGATCTCAGGAAGGAGGACTTGGGCTCAGCTGTGTCAAATTCTTTAGAGAGTGAAGGAAGACCTGCTCTAATTAATGAACTCAGCAAGAGGAGATTGACTTTACCTTTGTCAGAACAGTTTCAGTGGAGTGATGGAGGTGGAAACCGGATTGAAGTAAGGTTAGGCCTGCATGGGATATAAATAAAAAGAGACAGTATTTTCAGTAGGTCTGATTGCGGTGAGAGGAGGTGGGAGATGGCTGGAAGGGATTGATGGAGGTAAAATTGTGTTTTTGAGAGATGATAAACATTTGGGTGTGGTTAAATGATGATGGAAGAAATTAGGAGACAAAAAAGGGTTGAAGACATGGAGAAAGTAGGTCCCTGAGAAGTTAGGAAACAATGGAGTCCAGAGACAGATGAGGGGATTAATCTCTTGCATTGTGATTGCAGAGAATGAAGCAATTATTGGTGTAATTGTATGAAAGTTTTTAGACATTATGGAAGACGATGAAATGGTTTCATTTTCCCTACAAAGAGTGGTTAAGGTATTTGAAAATAGCAGAAAGTACTTGAATCAGATGCTATGAAATCCCAGAAGATTTGGTATTTGACATCAGGGGCCCAGTTGAGGCTTAGTTGCTTTGGGCACAGCAGGTGCTCATTAAAATTAACTGATCTCACTCACCAGTTTTGCCACAGGTTCTTCACATAATTTAATTAACGAGCAATTTAGTATTTGAGTATGATTTAAACAAAAATCAGATATCAGATCCATTATTCTTGATCTCATCATAAGGAAGAGTCTACGAATACATAGGAAGTACATATTACATTTGAGATACTAGGTACTGAAGGCGTTGGGTGCTGAGTGTACGATGATGAATAAAAAAAGTAAAAGATACAGTTAGTGCTGTGCCACCCCTTGTCGGGTTATATGCTTTTAGTGCACAGCCCCATACAGAAGCCCAGTTGCCACCTCTCCCTTGTCCCACAGCTAGGTGAAATTCCATTTGTACTCCAAGGGGTGGGAAAATTGCCCACTTATCATAAAAATTCAACTCTGGACTATAGAAGCATTAGTAAGCTTTTGAGTTAAATTTGGCATTTCATTTAGTCATAAATGAGAAAAGTTTAAAAGCTAGGAAAAGGATGGAGAAGAAGTCAAAGTCCTAACATGACAGCACCTGGATATTGTCTCTGACTTCTAGTACCTGTGGTAAATTAAGAAAAATAGTGATCAGTCAATCAATGAGCCATTCTGTGTGCTTGCCCCACACAGGATTTCTTCCCTTTAACCATGACAGCTCCACATACAAGATCCACACAAAGAGAATAAAGAGTTGGCTCTACTGTACTTAAAATTTTGTATTTATTTTATTTTTTTGATTTTAATTTTTAAGTGTGACAATTGTCTCTTTCCTGATGGATCACATAAAGTTAATGTGAAATTTATTATGTGTCTTATACAAATCATACCCCAAACATCTATATTTGTGCTAAGATTAAATATAACATGTTAGAGCAAAATGCCATGAGTATATGAAAACTGAGAGTTACAAGAGAAGTGGTTTGGCAAACTTAGTGTAGTTACAAGTACTCCTCCAGTTCCCTATTTTCAGGATCCACTTTTTAAAAAAGGCATAAAAACAAGAAGTCCACGGGATGTCTTTTGTAGCAATAGCCATATCTCAAAAAGTCATCCAGACCCTCTTTTAAAAAATATAGCTAAAACTCCACATATTATATGCAAGACTAACTTTTCTGTAGAAGACACTGCTGTCAATCCCAGTTTAAAATAAAGCTTACAAAAGGCCATCTACTGCTAGGAACTTATTTGCATGTTATCGCCAATCTATAGCATTCAGGAGATCAATAGATCAATCAGTTTCAAAGATTAAAGTGCGAAACATAACTGAGCTCAAGTATAAACAGCAGTTATTAGAAGATTTTTAAAGGTGAAAGACAGAGAGTATAGTGTGTATATATATACACATATATATACACAAATAGTTGTTTTACTAAAATATATAACTAAGTTGAGAGGATTTGAAGGAGTAGTATACACAGTAATTCAATTACAAAAAAGAGAGAAGATTCTATATTGATCAAGTACAACAGGAAAAGGTTAAGAAAGAAACAGATATTTAAAAAATCACAGAAATAATATTTGGATTTTGGGGGGGATTTCTTGTTTTTTAGTTTAAAAAGACATTGAATTTGTTCATTTATTCATTTACACTTTATTTTTCCAAATTTTGGTGCCTGAGAGCAATGAATAGTTGTAATTTGGTTTCTTTCTAATCAAAATGACAGCATAGTATTTTTAAACAAACATAAGTTTCAAACATAAATGTAAAGAATCTTAGCTCCTTTAGAAGTAAGGAACTATTGGTTTTTATTTACTTTAAATAATCAAGGACCATAACAATGTAGCATAAATATAGAAAGTTAAACTGGTAAGAAAGAGAATCTCCGCTATCTGAGCAGATAATATTGGACTTTATACATTGAAAATTGAAAAACGAATTTTGCGGTTACACAATTAATTATTTTAAAGTTGAGGGCTCAGCAAGCTAGATTTTATTTCTACTACTTTTTTCCTCCCCCGAATAGATGGTAAAAGAAATGTCATATACTCAGTCCGGTCATGGCTTTAAACTGGAAAAAAAAAAAAAAACAGTCGGAAATGGGAAAATGTGACTGAAGAAACATTGTTGCTTCTGTGATTCTGCTCAAAACGTTTTAATATCATAAGGATCAGTTTAGGAGACAATGATTGAAATGATGTCCTGTATGAACTTGTAAAGGCTGGATTAAAAATGCTTGTCAATACGAAACTCCTTAAGCAAGACTTACATAGTTTCAGTCTCATCCATATTAAAGCCAAAAGAATTTTAAGAAAGGAATTTTTTATGGCAATACTATTAATTAAAAGCGAACATTTTATTTTTTTAAGAAATTAAAATCCTAGAAGAAAACAAGGAATTGGAAGATGCTTTGAAAAATATCCAGCTGCCTAAAGAGGAAATTGAGAAACTTGAAGTGGATGGAATTAGTAAGATTTTTTTAAAAACTTCTCATTTATAGACATGAAGCTGAACATTTTTCTTGCTTTTGAGGAATAAGATAATTGTTACAGTCCAAACACTGTGATATATTACAGGATTTTATTTAAAACAATTTTACTGTAATAATATTTAGTTTTATTAAATATCTTTAATATGTGAGTAAGGTTAATCTTGCACTTTTTCTATAGCTTTCAACACTGACATTTTTTAAAAAAGAACTTATCTAATTTTAATTTAAGAATTATCTAATTTTAATTTTAGAACGTGTGCTTCTCAAACAAACAGTAATTCAACATTTCTAGTTATTTATAGATTAGACAAAAATACATAACAGAAATCGATTTAAAATATATTCTCAATTCCTAACAATTTACTAGTTATGAATTCATTTTATGATGTATATTGTTATTAAAGAAAATAAATTATGCCATGACTATTGTGGAGTGAAGATTTTTCTCCCTTTTTTGTTTTCAAAGCCTTATGGTACAAGATGATTCTTCCTCCTCAATTTGACAGATCAAAGAAGTATCCCTTGCTAATTCAAGTGTATGTAATATTTTCTTTGGTGTAAAAACTATTTACTGAAAATATGTTGGATGAAATACACATTTATGAAATAGAATGAACCATTCTCCTTGGTAACAGTTCCTATTGATGCTGTTTTTATATATTCCTCAACTAATCAGAGTAAATAAAATATGGCTATTTAAAATAGATTGAGGAAGTTCTGAGATTTTAGATGGACTTGCTTCCGTTTGCTGTGTTGAATTTTCTTTGTATGGCAAATTGCCGAATGTGTCAGAATACCTTTGAGATAGAGAAATTGCAGCCAAAAAAAAAAATATTGTAAATCATCTCAACATCTTATGTAATTGAGTTAGAAATGAAATAAAGAAATGGAATACATTTAGTGGAATCACACCCAAAATCAGTGCTGACCTACACACAATTTGCTTAAAACACCATGCATTTTTTTAGTATATCTTATGTCTGCTTTTAGCAAGTGGCAGGTGGCAGAAATGACGAAAAACCCACACATATTCCTTGAAATGCCAACCCTAGATGTATCCGTTTTGGGGAATAGGAGAGGCTGTGTCCCAAAACAACTTCCTTATAGCAAACCTCTGGGAAAAGCCTGGTCCCTTTTTGATTTTGAGCCAGTTCTAATGTCATTGTTATTTTATCACGTAATTGTACTAGTGCTTGGCCAGGATGGAAAGTTGAGTTTTGTAAAGGAATGAGAGATTTTTTTTTTTTCTTTAGGTATGGTGGTCCTTGCAGTCAGAGTGTAAGGTCTGTATTTGCTGTTAATTGGATATCTTATCTTGCAAGTAAGGAAGGGATGGTAATAGCCTTGGTGGATGGTCGAGGAACAGCTTTTCAAGGTGATAAACTCCTCTACGCAGTGTATCGAAAGCTGGGTGTTTATGAAGTTGAGGACCAGATTACAGCTGTCAGGTGAGCACTTTCTCATTCAAACAGACGTCAAATCACAACTAATGTCCTGCAATTACTATTGTGCTTCTTCGTTCTTAATGACTGAATTCTTTTTGCCTCTGTTCGTAACTTGATCTAAAACTGTTAATCTTAAAGGCATATTTTTGCCAAATATCGGGAAAAATCATTCATGGAAAAGAGCTAATAAATTTGTAGAAAAATAATTTATAGTGCAGAATGACTAATATCCTCTTTCCATGTGTCAGTCTTTCTAATATCCAAACAACTGGTAGAAAATTTTGTATAAGGCTAGCAATGATCTTCAAGAAATCAAACATCTGAATATGCCCAAGCATTGTGGATTCGTAAGTTTAGAAATAGTTACTGATCTCAATGTAATATACACAACACATTGTATCAGGAGCCAGGCCCAGACACTTTTCTGTAGTTTGTCTGGAATCAAAGCAGAAGAGTTTAGACTGAAGTAATTACGTTTAAAAATAGAAAGATAAGCATAACCCATACATTTTCACATGTTTCTTTCCTTCTGTGAACAGTCATATACACACACTTACAAAATGAATAAAATATGACAAATTAATAAGTAGATTATTAAATAACACTAAAATCTGTAGCTATCATTCACTCCTAACTTCTAGGAGGTGCCATCTTTCTTACTCATCCAGATTTTTGGCCTTTCCATTATTAACTTGTTTGAAGGAGATTGTTCAAAAGAAAACTCCACCGAGACATCAGTGTCTCATATAATGTACTTTAATGAGAATATTAACAAAATTGTCAGCATTATAGTCTTACTTCTTTCAGGGAGGATTTTTTGTTTTGTGTCACTGCAGGTCACATCTATTTGCATTTAATCATATGAAATAAACACCAAGGACATTTAATCCTGGGGCTACGTGAAAACACAAAGATGAAAATTATACCTCATTTGTAACTCAATTATATCTTTTCCAAAATTGGTAGAGCTAAAAAATGGTTTCTTTTAGCATTGGTTTAAAAATGTCATCATCATCATCACAACCCAGCAATAACAACAAAATACGTGATTATATACTTTCATGCATTTATTTATCATCAAAAATGCAGCATTTGAATTTAAGAAGAAATAGCTGCTTAATATTTTTCTTGGATGGAAGAAAGCTTTAAACCTCAACTATGTTCTTTAATATAAAGGACACAAAGCCACAAATTCTGTTTTCTACTTGTTTTCACAATATCAATTTGTCTTTGGTATATAGAATTGAAGATGCACTACAGGTGGTAATTGGATACCTGTGCTTTTTCTGAGCCATTTTTAGGATGGGATCTGAAGAAGGTCTTCCTGCTATATTGCAGGCATGTGTTCACTCATTTACTCAGCCTTCAATGACATATCAAATATTAATGCATGCCATTGCAGTACACTCTGCATAGACTTGTGCAATTTACAATCTGTTTTTAATGCACTTACAATCTGGTAAAAGTGGTAAGAGTGCTACCTGCACTCTGAGGGAAAAGCATTACTGCTAGAGACAACTTTCAGTAAACACCCCAGTGAACATGGAGCGCTGCGTGGCCCATGTGAAGTAAACATGCAACAGTGGCAATGGCAGCCCGGGCTGGCCATGGTCTTGCTTGAACTCATTATTATGCAAAAGTGAAGAGGATGCCTTAGAACCCAATGCTTTGGGAAAACAAAAGCTAAAAAGGATAGATTTATAATGACAATCCTGGGAATGATTCAACCAATGTCTCCCAAAGAAGTGTTTTAGGAATCAGACACCAAATGCTTGACCTGGGGAAATTGGGTGTTATCACTCTATTGCAGCCTTCAAATTTTCCCCCAGAGAATGAAATTTGCCCCTTTGAATTTCTTACAAAATGCAATTGGGCTAAATGTTCTAAATACCAAAAGAAAATCATATATATATATACATCTGGAAACAACGGTAAATATTAGTCAAGGCCAACAAATAGATTTAAACAAAGCAATGCAGGCATGGCAGGTGGGGGTCGGGGGGTGGCTAGGGGTGGCTAATGAAGCCATATAACCTCATCACTTTTGCCTGTACAAAAGAGAATGCTTCAAAGCAGATTCCTGTGAAATGTAAACATACTTGAAACTGAGGCCGGCTTTCTTTAGGCTTCTCTGCAAATGGTATATATGTGATACCCATAAAACTTTGGTGGTTATAGAGTCGACTGTGCTCATTTTAAGTATATTAGGCATTGTTGACATTCCCACAACCTTGAAATTTTATATAACTTGAGGGTTAGTGTTGAGGAAGAATTATATGAGAAAAAATATCCAATCATATTGTTATAGATGGTATCAATGAGAACATTCCTAAAATAGTGTAATAATTGATCACTATTATCCCAAGTCGACCTTGGCCTGGGGCCATTTTTATGAAAGAAAAGTTATAAAGTTCAATCCAGCTTCCCAAATTAGAAAACATCCTTTTCATTTGTTGCTAACATTTTGTTGATTTAACCACATTATCAACAGTTTTTCTGATAAACCCTCCTGGAAACTCTTCAGAATTTGGAGGTGAATTTTATAGAGCCTTGTTGGTCTCAAAGTGCTCAGATTATCTAGCTAACCTTTAACCTAGTCCTGCCACATTAAGTGTTAATGTTTTATTTCCATTGTAAGTGGTGCACTATCATTTCCTGCAAATGTCATCTTTTCAGAATAAACCTAGGAAGGGAGCTGTTAAGAATCTCCCGTTCCCATGTCACACCTGTTATTTGCTTTTTACCCCAGATGCAAGGCAGTGTGATTGCTAGCTTCTGGGAAATCATAAAATCACGATTGATTTTATGGCTCACAACTGTCTTTAAGCACTAGTAACAAGATTTTTTTTTTTTTTTTCACAAAAAAGCAAATCTTCTCTTTTAAATTCGGTTATGAGGTTTATGGAAGAATTGCTGAAGTGCCTCAATTTGCTGCACATTTTCTCTGCTTTACCACGAGCAGCATCCACACAGGTAGCAACTCTCCATTTGCTACTGCTTTTTTTCCCTGTAGACTCCTCAGTGTCCTTCAGAATCAGTGTCGGGTAAGCTGTGACTAACGGGGCCTCTTCCCATCTGTTGGTCCCGGGCATTTGCCCAACTCCTGTATGCATCGGAAACGTGCATGTTGAATCAATGCAATGAGTGAAATGGTTGCTGTGAAATCCCTTTAAGAAACTACATTATTCGACTAATGAAACTCACTCAGTTCTACTCCCAGAGAAGAACGGATGAGAAACGGCATTGACAGTAACTGAAAGAAACAAAACAATAGAATTTTTCTGACGCTATGTGTCTCCTTTGGTCTCCTCCCTTCTTGCGTTTCTGTTGCAGACAGCGGCTTCTGCAGGGGCTCGTCCAGTTTGCTTCTTTCTACCACTGCTTCTCCTCCTCTGAGATTTCCTTGAATTTTTATCATATCCCCCAAATAAATCACAATTGCTCTGGAACACTATACCGTCAGAGGAATATGGTATAAACTAGCCTGAAACACTCTGGTTTTGTGTTGAGTTTGAAGTTTTCCCGTGACTTTTTAAAGGTGTCCCCCCACATGGCCTCTTGTTCACAAGTAAAGATTTATTTTTAAAATAGTTTCAAAATGGTGACTCTTCTGTGATGGAGCTAAAAACGAATTGTTTCCATATCCTAAAAGATACGTGTAATTGCCCATGCCATGAATCGAGGGTGCCTGAGTAGAAATGGAAGAAGGATGGATATTTTTCTCAAATGTGACTTAAAATGCAATGGTGATTATCACTGGCAACTAAGCAAACAAGGTGATAAGAAATTAATACAATTTAAAACAGAGACAACATAAACCTGCTTTCCCAAAACTGGGGACTTGGAAATTTGGTCCTACTCAATGGTGCTGCTACTTCCTGTGTTACGATGAGCCTGTTTCTTGACCTCTCTGAGTCTTCGGTAACTCACTCGTGCAATTAGGATATTAGGCCTTACAGCTCTGAGAGTGCTACTCAATAATTGTACAAAAGAGTCTAAGAGGATCCTTTTATCTTTTACAGAAGACATGATAATATTATTTTAATTATTTGTAAATATAGCCTTATTATGCATGTGTTTAAACAAAGAAAATGTAACGTTTCTATTAAATCTTTGGATTAAATATGCTTGTGTAATGAAGTAAATGTCATGTGTACACACTTAAAATTCTAAAAATTTGTTTCTTTTACTTTAGAAAATTCATAGAAATGGGTTTCATTGATGAAAAAAGAATAGCCATATGGGGCTGGGTGAGTTGTTTTATATGTTTTATGCCTGTTATTCAGTTCAGCAATCATCATTTTCTAAAGTGTTCGCTTATAAGGTTTCTCATGAAATGTTAATGTTGCAACATAATTTAATTTGTCAATGGAAACAGTCAATTTGGATAATCTGGTCTTCAACGTGGTGGTTTTAAGTGTTTGTTCCTTTTTTTTCAATATTTAGTTTCTTCTCTGTACAGCACATTCACTCATAATTGACATGTTTTTACCTAATTTTTTGGTTTTTGATTATAGCAGTCTGAACTTAACCTTATTCAACAGGGATTTAATTTTCTTTGTCAGACTTAAATATATATCTTTTATATTATATTTCATTTTTATAAAAAGATGAGCTGAAGTTTGAAATTACGGGAAATTTTAGAATATAAATTCCTTAGTACCTAGCCTCCTAGCAGAGTCATATCTTGGCTTTCTGATTTTTTTTTTTTTTTTTTTTGACAAATTATTTTACTAACCCTAATGTTAATTTGTGCTACCCAGAAGAGAAGTATTATTTAGTTTCCTAGTTATAGGTCATGGAGGTAACTTTCAAAGTTTGAGGAACTATGCGGGTTTTGAAAATACGCATTAAAAGGAAGTGGTAAAACTTATGGGCATTGCATGGGCATGAAGTCACTGGAAAGCTTAGAGAAATACTGGAAAGAGTTTAGATTTGCCCATTATAAATTATGATAATTACCCTTCAAGAAGATTTCCTGTTTCACTTTTTGGTCTGAATTTATACATTTGCAAGTCAATTTGCAGCCGTTTGTGCTTGGGTTGTTTTTCTTGGCTGTTTTCTCTGAGAGCGGCCTGTGCAAGATGAAGGGAATGAAACCCAATATTGAAGGAAATCTGCAAGATTCAGCTCAACTCTCAGCTCAGTGACCAGATGAAGGGCTGTTATGAATTTGGGGAAAGTTGTTACTTTGAGCCATTTGGTCCTTCTTAAAACTATCAAAAGTTAAATATCTAAACAGAATGAAATTCAAATGGGTAGAAATAAATGAAATACTTTTATAGTAAAATATTTCAGATAAGACCTTCCCTACCATCCATTTTTATGAAATTTCCTAGAGCAAATTCGTGACAGATTTAAATTTCAAGCTGAACACTTACATATAATCATTAACATTTCTCTTAGAGTTATACTTTGCTTTTAATGTGGGCTTTGAAATAACCATAAAGTAGAACTTTTATTTCATTTATAGAACATTCTAGGTATTAGTTTGGTAGAGATCCATCTATGTGGGATGATTTAAAGAACCTACTCATCACCCAAAAATACATTCCTATCAGCCTGAAATTCTTCAATAAGAGATTCTCACCACATCAAACTGTGCGAATGCCACTGGAAAAAAAATAGTATATTAGACCCCCTTTATTGCTTACTTTCCAACAAGGCAGCGATTGCAAGGTAGAATCTGCGAACATGTTTAAGAGATGAAAGTAATAAGTGGACTGCCAATGGATGCAACAACTGAGCAAACCCCAAATCGGCCCAAGGAGCCAGAAGAGAGAAAAAGACATTAATACTAAATTGTTTGTGTCAGTTCTTTGGGTTTAAGACTAGTCCATATTCATTAATCTGTCTGTCTGATCACTGACTCATGCATTCTTTCTTCCATGTAGCAAATTTTCAACTAGTCTTGTACTAGGTTCTTTAGGATATGACAAGATGGGCAAGTTATAGTCCTGGCCCTCTATTGTGGGAAACAGACAACAAAAAACAATGGCTCAGCAATGTTCCAGGTATTAAGAGAGATCTAACTTTGCTGTGGGGAGCAGAGGGAGAAGAGTTATTAAATATGGCTGTGGGAGCTAAGGGAGGGTCCAGAAATAAGTCATGACTTGAGGTTAGCAAAGATAGCTTAGTAACAGGCATTCCAGGCAGAGTGAAGACCACCTTGCCCACATCCTGAGTTAACAAAAAGCATGACATGCATGGGGACTCTGAGTTGGTCAGGAGTGCCCAAAACTTCAAAAGCCTAAAGTATCATGAGGAAGGTGTTGGAAATGAGTATAATAGATAGGTATGTAGCCAGATAACAGAGGGCCTTTTAGGCCACAAAGGACAGTGGGATTTGTGCACAACTCTGTGACACCTTTCTCTTTTCAGTCTTCTGTGTCTCTATTCTTATTACACTCCATTTATTCTTTAAATGTTGGTGTTTCTCTGAGTCTGGCCTTGACCCTCATTACTCTTCATTTCCTTGGGCAAACCTTTGTGGTTTCAAAGATAATGATGACTGCCAGACCCCTGCCACCAGCAATCATGCCTCTTCTGAGCTCCATATTTTAAATGCCTAGTGTTCATATCTCCCAAATGTCTTACATGGGCCTCAAGCTAAACTTACTCCAACATAGACTTGTTATAGTCAACTTTAAAACTAATCTTACTCTTCATTAAAGGCCTCAACACACACGCAGTCACCCAAATTAGAAAGCTTAGAGTTATTTTCAACAACCCCTTCTCCCCAACTCCGACATTCTGTTGGTTAGTAAGTTCTATCAATTCTACCTTCAAACACCTAAGTCTGTTTTCATCATCCTCACTGATATTTCCTTAGTTTAAGTTTCTTCATATGTAACTTAGACCAGAACTTCTCAAACTTCAGCTTGCATAAGCATCACCTGGAGAGATTGTTAAGACCCAGCTTCCTGGGTCTACCACCTTGGACCATAGGTCGAGTAGCACCAATTTAAACTATTCTGATTGTTTCTTAACTGTCCTCTCTGCTTCCAACATACAAGCTGCAATGGTGCTAATGAAGCTATCATTTCAGAATACAGTTTTTGCCATGTTGCTTTTCTGCTTATATATTATATAGGGCTCCACATTGCCTGCAATATCATAAATCCCAAATATACTTTGTCTCATGTAAAGCCCTTGGCAATCTGGCTCCAACTTATTTTTTCAGTCTCATCTCCCTCCACTTCTCCCCACACCTTATGAGTAATTTAAATTATGCCTATGCTTTCTTGTTCCCATAATTTTGTACAAACATTTTTGTAATTTTATTAGGGTTAGGTTCCCTGCACCTGCGATGTTCATCCTCCTCTTCCATTCCCCACCTCTTCCTCACTCCAAAATGGAAAACTCCGACTTGTTCTTTAAGCCCCAACTCAGTTATGACTTTCTTTGTGCTCCAATAGCTCTTCATTGTTCTTTTATAGGAATTATCATGCTTTTGTCTTGTCTGTTTATTGGTTTCTTCCACGAGAATGTAAGTTCATCAAGTCAGTGTCTTATTTTCTCTCTGTTTCTGAAATGTTTAGCACAATACCTGGCCATGCCAAGCATCTATGAGGTTGTTTGAACTGAGTTTAATTCTATAAGTCAACATCCCCCAAAATGTGTTCCACTAGTGCCAGGAAACTTTTTGGGGGAAAAATTTTATGGTTTAATAACTTGGTAAATCATGAACTGTGTACAATATTATACAGGCTCTGTGAAGAACTGGTAAAGAAACCTGTTAAATTTTACTTAGTACAGTATTACCAAAAATTATTTGATTCCACAACTCTTTATTTCTCCTTTACCCCAAAATACACTTTAACAAAAATTTCTATGGACATTTCATTGAAAAGTGCTGTTGAAGTTGACAGGGAGTGGTATTGGTTTCTTAGAAAGATAATCTGGACTGCAGAGTGGAGGATGGTCTGAGGTTGGGGAAAGGCTGGGCCAAGAGACTAGGAAAGCAGTATAACTGGGGACAAATATTGAAGACCTGAATTTAGGCAGTGAAGTAGCAGTGAGAGGGGGTTATAATTCTGAGTGCTCTTTTACAGTACAGTAAGTAGGGACCTATGGGAAGCTAGAGATGGGAGAGAGTTGACTATGACAGTTGTGTAGTTATCATAGTATTCCATATCAGGAAAGAAGATATCTGTTTCCATAAAGTATTAGGCAATTTAGTAGTCTGAGAAATACAGCATACCTAACTAGACAAAAAGTTTTGGAGCCAATTGGTCAATAAGTTGCAAATTCTACATTTTACTTCATTATCCAGATCAAGAGCTGAGAAGGAAGCATTTTTATCTTAATCTTTCATTTTTCTGGCTCACACAAACCAAAGCCCAGTAGCCATGGTTTTAGTTATTTATTAAATATCCACTGTGTACCCAGCACAGTGCCTAAGAACTATTTTTTCATGACAGTGGTTCTTAACTGGGGTGATTTTTCACCTCGGGGGATAGTTGGCAATCACTGCAGACATTTTTGGTTGTCACAGTCAAGGGAGTGCTACTTGCAGCTAGTGTGTAGAGGCCAGGGATACTGTTAAACATCCCACAATGCACAGGGCAGCCCCCCACAAAAAGAATTGTCCAGCCTAAAATGTCAATAGTGTCAAGGTTGCAAAACACTGGTATACAATGAAAAGTTGAAGCAATTATTCTGACAACTGAAGAGCAAAAAGGATTTTGCCTAAATTATTAGAATTACAGCCTCATTTATGGGCTTTGCTTTGTTAATATAGGCCTAGCCAGGTGGTGTTGAATAAGCATTAGTTCATGATTTAATCTTAGTTCCTTTCTTTTCCAGTGACTAATTATAAGCAATTTGAATAGCTATGTGTGATCAACAATGTAAAAGTAGGACAAATGCACCTCTAATGAGACTATATTAGACTCTGAACTTAAAGTTCCCCCAAAAGAAGCTGCCTTTGTGTATGTGTAAGGATATAGAGGGCATGATATGAGCTGCTGAGTCCTGACTCAGCAGTCCAGGGTTTGAGCAGCTCTGCTGCTTACTGACTCCATAGCCATGGTAAGTTCACTCTGAACCTCAGTTTTCTCATTCTGAAATACAACAATAATTTCCTCACTAAATCACTATGAGGATTAGATGAGTTAATAGCAAAGTCATATATTCAACACATATTTACTCTATTCTTCCTGCGTGTCAGGCCATATTCTCAGTGCTGGGGATAACATTCATTGACAAGACAGACAACAATCTCTACCCCTATGGAGTTGGGAGTGATTAAGGAGAAAGACAATAAGCAAGATAAATCAGAAAAATATATAGAATGTTAAGTGATGATAAGTGCTATGGAGAAAGACAAAACAAGGAAGGGGGTGGTGCAGGGTTGGTACAGTTTTAAATTAGAAGGACAGGGAAGGCTCCTTTGAGATGACATTTGAGTTGAGACTTGAAGAGGGAGGAAGTGAGGCGTGCTGATTTCTGGAGAAAGAGCATTCCAGGCAGAAGGTCACAGCATTTGTAAACATCCTGAGGCTAGATCATGCCTGGAGAGTTCAAACAACGTCAATAGAGCCAATGAGCAAGGGGGAGAGAAAAGAAGAGAGGTACGAGGGAAGAAAAGGGAGACAGATTGTGTGGTACCACAAAGACCATTGCAGTAATTGTGGCCATGCAAGTGTTAGCCAGTTATTATTATTGCCTGTAGGTAAAATGTCCCAATGTGCATGATGGCTCAAATAACAGTGTTCCATAAACCCTCCTTCTGTGCCCTTCTAAGAATGTTTTTAAAGATATCCTTCGTTTAAACAAAATGGCAAGACATCTAAGTGCAAAGGACAGAATTCTAGAATTCTCATGGCCAATCTGCTCTGTAGGTTCTTTTCTTGCAGCAGCCACCCACTCTGCCTGGAGCCCCACTCATGGGGGAGCAGAAAAAAGTCAACTCGGGTTCTGTTTTTTCCTCTTCATTTCTACAATAGGAATAGCTTTTCAAACTGCCTGAGAATTTAAAGTACACCTCCTTTTGTTCTGCTGATACAGTAGCTTTTGCTCTTGCAAATACCTAAAGAAAATTTGTATTCATTATGAAAACAGGAAAATTCCATTTAAATACAGCACTATCACCTGATCCCTGAATAGATACAGATTAATAATTCCTAAAATTTTGAACAGAAATGTTAAAAACCTTTTTACTATATGCAAAGGCTTTCTATTTCAAATTTCATTTTGTGTCACTTCCTTCTCTGGGACATAGCAGAAGAGAAGTATTTTTATTTGCAGGGAACACACTTTTCCACAAAACCATAAACAATAACAAATTTTCTGAAGGTCTCAGACTTATTTTGCTCTCATTTTAACTTAAAATTAAGAAGAAAGAAAAGCCCTCCTGTGTCAGTTATGATTTTTGCTAACCTACCAATCCAAACAAATAATTTTTATATTATAAATGAAAGTTTGAACCAGGCAGAAAATTTTCACTTACCAAAGTGATTTTCAAACCCAAATATTCCTTCTGTTTTAAAATGTGGTTTTTCCCCTATTAAAACACAGTTTAGTTCTCCTCCAAGTATAGTAAAAAGAGGCCATGGTATAATTGGAGCTCCCTCTTTTATTCTGTGTTTTGCAGTCAACGGTCCTCAGTAAAATTCCTCAGAGCTGGAAACATGAAACTGTAAGCTAGTTAGAGAATTCTTCGTATAACTGTTGAATTCAGCAAGACTGTTTGGCTTATTCTCCCATTCCATATATTTGATGGAGTAAGAATAGACCCCTGCCACTGACTTGCTGCCATCACCATGTCTGTCTGTCTGTCTCTCTCTCTCTTTCTCTCGGGTGCATGTGCATCCTTACTTTCATTCATTCTCCCTCTCTAAAGACTGGCTCTTCTGTGTTAAAGGATGATATGATCTGTCATGACCTGAGGAAAGTGATTCTCAGAAATTTGTGGTAGTAAAGCCCTAAAAACAAGACATGGCTTTGGTTGAAGAGTCACACTGTCCCCTTATGATTTGTAAGGACTTCCCAGCACCAGAGCAAGAATAAATGCTGAGAATCAGTTCCTAATCTAGTGCACACATTTTTTGGTCCATGTCCCAGAAGACTGCGTAGTCCATGTTCCCAGGAGAAGGGCTTCTCTCCCAGCATGTTTGTACAGACCAAATTTGCTTTCCAGGAGGAGAATGCAGCCTTATTATGATGCGCCGTTCATCATTCCTTATTCAGGAAATGGCTCACATTTCCAAGTGACATGGGCAGAGATCTCTTTCCGTGATCCAGGTCACATTTCTGAATCAGCTGATGATTCCTCAGGGAAGGAAATCGATGAGAGCTAAACTTACTCCTGACTCTGCAATTTATGTCCCCTCTTGCACTTCTTTGCTTTTCCATTAAATTTATAGGAAGAAATGTAAGGTTTTTAAAGACATCAGTGACTTTTCCTCCACTGAGCTACTATATCAGAAATCCTCAAAGCAGAATATGTAAACTACATAATACACAAACTCTAGCCATATCTTAAACTATGCTAAAGGTTGTTATGTCCTTCTTTTGGAGTTCTGTTATGAAAATAAACAAGTAAATACATAGATACAAGTTCTGCCTCACAGGACTTCTACAAACTGCGGGAAGTATCTAACATTTACATTCGGAGAATAATTTCCTTTTTCTGTGTATCTCTTTTAATTAAAATCCTGTTTTAATTCCAGCAAGGTCCTGGTGGATACAGAGGGGGGAAAAGGAGAAATGTTTTTACAGAAAAATTGTAATTATATCAATCTCGTCTATTCTGATAAGCACACCAAGTATTAAGAATTTATTAGAGAGAAATCAATATTATGTCTGCTAGAGCTTGCTGCTGAGAGTACAAGATAGACATTTATTCTACCCTTATTCATATCCCCCAGCTCTTTTCAGTCCTGATTGTGAATAGTATAAAAATATGAAAGAGAGCTTATGACAGTAAATCTGCGACTTATTCTAACACTGTCTCTACAGTCCTATGGAGGTTATGTTTCATCACTGGCCCTTGCATCTGGAACTGGTCTTTTCAAATGTGGGATAGCAGTGGCTCCGGTCTCCAGCTGGGAATATTACGGTATGGAAACATTTCATTAATGTTACTATGAAAACATTTAACACATAATTACTCCATATTTGATGTTGCTAGGAAAACAAATTATGCAGAAACATTTACCCCAGCATCACTGAGGAAAATATAACCTATAAATGGGGTTTTTATGTGATTTATTATAATCATGTTGTAACAATCAAAGAAATCTTAAGAGTGAGGAAGGGCTCTTCCACAATCTAATACATATATCTTGTTTTCTCCCAGAAACCTGGAGCCCCTGCAGAACCATATCTTTAAAGTCGGAGCTAACTCTGTGGTTTTGCAGGCACACAGTTGCTGCATAATGGATTTTAAGCATATCTTATGCAAATTTAGGCCAGGGGCCAAGCAATTCACCTCCACGCCGCAGTTTGCAACTGCCAGCTCCATTGCTCGAGAAATAAGAGAAACAAAAAATATGTTTGAGAAGTACCCCTCCTGTGTGTGCCTATTTTTATGATTTAACATCAGTGTAGGATTTGGGAGTAACTCTAATAATGTACAAAAATTAGCTTTCATCACATCCTCTTCCTTGTGTTGGGGAAGAAATGAAATAATTGTGATGTGTAGGAGATCTTTATTCAGGAAAAAAAGTGTGTGTGTGTGTGTGTGTGTGTCTGTGTGTGTGCGTGTGCGTGTGTGTGTGTTGGGGGAGTGGATCTGGGGTACGTATTTACATCCCAGATGAAATAAGACACCAAGAAAAGTACTGGAAAGGCTGTTTTTGTGATTTCGAAAATATAACGTGATTATTCCTATTTCAACTTTTTCCCCAGCAGGGCCAAAGGGAAGAAGCTAAGATCAGCCTAGAAAGGAAGTGTTCAGAGGCTCCTGTCTCTATAATCTCTTCATCCATTACTTCTTTAGCTCTACTGAGGCAAATTGGAGAGATGACACACATTCTTTGAGGCTAACTGTTATAGTACAGTAAAGAAAGAATTTACCTCAAGAACTCCACGTGGGCAAATTGAGGAGCAGTTATTAAATGTGGAGGTCTTGTTAGTTAATGAAATGACATGCATCACATGCAAACAACATATTCTTATATATTTTACAGCATCTATCTACACAGAGAGATTCATGGGTCTCCCAACAAAGGATGATAATCTTGAGCACTATAAAGTAAGCATTTTCCATTTTATTTAGGTCATTAATTTATTTCAAATGTGCTGAATAATTTTAAAGCAGTAATTCAGAATTTATAGTGTTAATTCTGGGTCCCCAAGCAAATATGATGATCTTTTGTTAACTGCAAAGCACATCACTAGAAAGGATTTTACTCCTTTCAGTTCTATTCTTTCTTTCCCTATCCTTCTTCCCTAACTCCCTTTTCCTGATTCTCCTCCCCAGCCCCCAACCCCTACACAGCTTGAGCGGGCATCATTTATGCCTAAGGTCTCACTCATATGTAACATATGACACATAAACTTTCAGTTTTTCAAACTAAGAATCAGATGGAAGTAATGCAAATGATGATGAAAATGTGTTGCTCTGACTCTTAAATATTTATCAACCAAAGCAATACATAATTTCAGTATTGGTGCTAAGTCCATTGCACAATGATTTAGCTAGTTAGTTTTCTATTAGAACTTGCAGCAACTAAAATGTTAATTTTTCCTCTTTTCCAGAATTCAACTGTGATGGCAAGAGCAGAATATTTCAGAAATGTAGACTATCTTCTCATCCACGGAACAGCAGATGGTGAGGTTTAAGCAAGACTCTTACACATAAAAATACTGAGCCAGCATCACTTTGTTTAAGAAACATTAAGCATCCTCCTATGCCTATGCTCAGGGTCAGTACCTAAGAGTCAGGGACATTTCCATATCTGAGTGTGATTACTCACTGCTGACAATGTCAAATGCATGACTAGATAATTGTTGGTGTTCATTTCCAGGCAGTACATTGTCACTCTATGCTTTCTGGTATTTAGCAGCACTTTAACTCTCTCTCTTTGTTGCAGATAATGTGCACTTTCAAAACTCAGCACAGATTGCGAAAGCTCTGGTTAATGCACAAGTGGATTTCCAGGCAATGGTACATGATTTTGTTTTGTTCATGGCCTTAGGCCTCCAAGCTAAAAGGAGGAAGTCCTATATATTTTATTTATTTATTTATTTATTTTTTAGTAAAACCTGTCAAAGAGGCTGCAGGATAGAGTAGGCAGAACATTAACAGATTAATCTTGGATCTTTCATTAACCGAAGGATCCTGGGCATGCCAGATCACCTCTAGGATTCCCGTCGAGTCATATAAAATAAAGGAGTTCACAAGATTAAATGATTTTCTAGCTCAAGCATCCAATGGTTCTGTAATCCTATACATGTAAGTTTAGCTACATGCTTAGAGTTCCTGCAAAATCTGGGAGCCCCAAAGCAGCTAGGAGATACTGTTTCATCCAGTAAGAAGTAACTGCAGAAAGTTATTGGAAAGCTCAAATGCTCCCTGAAGTCATGCAGCTCCATTCAGGGTTAGAGAATCTCTTCCTCTGTGTAGTCTCCCGCACCTGGCGCATGCGCAGCACAGAAGCTCGAATTTTTACTGAGTGAATAAATGAATGAGCAAGCTAAGTGTAAAATACAGGTTGCATAAGGAATAGAAAATAAAACTGAAAAGAAAAGAAGGTGAAAGCCAAGGCAAGGGGGGAATGCTTGGTAGCTACTTTTTCCTCTTCAGTGAGCACAAATTCTCCCTCAATTGCTTATATTGAACAAGAACCCAGGAAAGGAGACCCCCCACATCTTTTGGAAATTTGTTTTCATGAATAACTTACAAAGAGTGAGGTGAGATTTTTCTGAGCTTTTTTATTTGTGACCCCTAAGTAAATTCAACTTAGTAAGTATATAGCATTATACCATGACAACCTCCACCATTATTCAGTGAAAACAGTAATCTTACTGGCATCTCTCCAAAAATGAAGTTTAGTTATAATACTATCTCCCTCCTCTTTTTTTTTTTTTTTTACACAGTGCTATTTTTAATTCCAATAAAGGGTATTTACAGTTTTATATGGATACATTATATTGTGGATTTTCTGCAACCGAAAGAAATTAGATTCACAGGCTGAAAGCTTCATGGAATTTTTAAGCTACAAGGAGTCTTAGGGAAAATTAAATCCAACCCCTTTGTTTTTCAAATGAAGAAGCCAAGCTCCAAAGAAGCAAAGTAACAGACCCAACACACCAGTTCTGGCATTCTAATCCTTATCCCCAGGATGCTGGCCGCTGTGAAAGCTCAGCCACTGAGACCTACATACAATATAAGTTTAGAGAATATGAAACAGTAGTGGAGGCTCATGAAAGCTCTTTAAATCTTCCTGCTCTGAATGTTTACATGTAAACTATTTTATTTATTCAAGTGTTCTCAGATAGAATTTCCCCATAATATTAGACAAATTATCAGGTCCCGAGAGCACAAAAAAAGTTCAAAGCTAGATGCATTTTGTGTCTGCAGGAATAAAACAGGCTTCTTTTCTTTGTGTTTCAGTGGTACTCTGACCAGAACCATGGCATATCCGGCCTGTCCACGAACCACTTATACACCCACATGACCCACTTCCTAAAGCAATGTTTTTCTTTGTCAGACTAAAGTCGATGCAGATCCAAGCCTGTCTGACAATCTGAAAACTTCATATAAATGCCTCAGACCATTTGCTTGTTTTACTTTCTATGTTGTAAAATGCTGGTATAAACAAACAAATGAATGTTGTTCTAAAGGCTGGTAAAAAATTAGGAGGACTCAGAAGTTCAAGTTGAATATTGTTTACATTTTCTGGTACTCTGTGAAGGTAGAGAAAAAGAAGCCATTCATTTTGCTTTGGGCACTGACAGTGTTTTGTCATTTGTTCGTTGGAGGAGAAAAATAAAGTCATAAGTTGAAGTGCTATCATGTTGTCTGTGTTCATTGATTTTAGGTTCCAGGTTCTATCATAGAAAGAGGTGCTTGTGCAAGGCAAGTACATGAATAATATTAGGGTGGTCATGGAGGAGAAGAATCTAGAAGTAGTTTTGGATTTTTGTAATGAGAACTCCAAATGCTGAAATAAACAGCCCAGAGTAGGCAAAAGCATTGTTTAGAAAACGCAAAGAATCATGTGTGATTCATTTGTACTCTGTTGTCCCTCTAATAAATATTTATTAAATTTCTTCCAAAGGATGTCTTCAATATTGCCAAAGCATTCGATAAGGATAAAGTCAGACATTTGAATTAACGCTCATTTTAAGAAGTGCTTCAAATTTGGAAATGTTCCTATTTTGTACCCCTTTTTTGAATTAGTAATAATAAGTGCCTTCAGATTGCTAAACCATTACCAAACTAAAACGATAAATAAATAAGTAAAATGGACATTAATTGCGGAAGAGGAAAATTATTTGTCTATGAAATTTTTCTGGGGTTTTAGTTCTACATTTAAAAAGTTCATTTTGGAAAAAAAAAAAAAAAGCCACAATGCCCGCAATCCCCAAAGCAATGCTCTGCCATTAACTGTCACCATCAGTTGGAAACTATGGGTGACTTGCCATCTCTGTGATTGCCACAGAGTTAAAAGATCCATACCAGGTCACCAGAAGATACTTCTTGAATGAATATTGGAAGAATCCATCAAGCCACTGTCTGGGGGACTTTTCGTGGATATTTTTCCCAGCACTGGACTATCTCCACATTCCTAGCTTGATTCTTTCTTTCCAGTTACATGTAGAACATTCTCATGTCTTCTCTTAAGTTCTATAGCCAGGAGAATTGATCCAGGCATGGAACATTACAGCAGGAAGGGGCCTCAAAGATCACAGACCATTCTTTTCTGGAGTTTTCAGAATTTTCTCAGTCTAGCCTTCTTTTCACTACTGCTTTCTAAAAACATGCCTTGCACTCAGGCCACAGAGCCCCACCTCACACTTGAGAGTCAGAGGAAGCTACTACCTCTCTCTCTGTTCTGCACAGAGCAGTCTCTGAAGCAAAACCAGGCATTTCCTCATACTCTATCTAGGGAGACAATGGGGTAATTACAAATTGGAAGAACAAAAACCTTGTTACTCCAACTTATTTTCTGCGTTTTTGGAATTTGCAAAGCTGGATTTTAATATCGATGTGCAGTTAGTGGTCTCAGGCCTTTGCTCCCAAGGCCACAGAGCCAACTGTGAAGAGATAACAGGTCATTTTCCCACTTAGAAACCTCCAGTGATTCTCCATTGTCTACAAAGTAATATTCAAGCCCGACTGCATGACACATACAGCCCTTGACAATCTGTTCCCATGCAGATTTTTCAAGCTGTTCTGACACCAGCCCTTGTAGACCTTTTATTTCCTCAAATTTTCCATGTTCTTTCACCTTTCTATACACCGTGAAATCCTAATGGTGCTTCCCAATGAGGTAGATAGCCACAAACTACATGAGGCTATTTGAATTTAATGTGTTAAAATTACATGAAATTAAAATTCAGCTCTTCTGTCACACTAGCCACATTTCACTGCTCAGTAGCCACATGTGGCTAGTGGCTACCATATTGGACACTGAGATGCAGAACATTTCCATCATCACAGAAAGTGCTATTGGACAGCACTATCCAGAAAAATCTTTATAGCCCATGTCTTGGAGCATAGTATATCACAGAAGCTCACCAGTTATTGAATAAGTGAATGCCTCTGTGTTCATGGAAGATTCAGGTTTTCTACATTACCGTGGATGAAGCCTTCCCTGACCGCCTCAGGGAGAATCACCCAGGTTTCCTTCAAGACTCTCAGCGTGTGTTTATTTATTCATTCATTCATTCAACAAACATTTACTGAGTCTGGCTATATACTAGACACTGTGCAAGACTTTGAGGATGTAGTGGAAAGCAGACAGTAACTTGAGTGGCAATTTTTTTAAATGTTCACGTTATACAGCTTTACTAGATTCCTCTTTTGGCTTGGAAGATAAAAAGTTTGTAAAGTGTAAAAGGGAGAGATTTTAAGTAGAAAACACAAAATTAAAAGGGATGATTAAAGAATACTTGCTTTTTCTGTTTGTACGAAGCTAGATTGTAATAAAAAATAATCTTTAATCACATTTTATACTATAGGTGACCAAAATGAAAAAAAAAATTCTAGTTTGTCTAGGAAGGAAAACATAAAACCGTTTCTAAAAATAATCTCAAATTTTAGTCCCACAATGCTGGCCTCAGAATTATTTTTTAAAGTTTCAAAATTCTAAGTGACCATCTAATATTTCTTAGAGTGAATGAGAAAGAAACAGCAAAGAAATGGGTATTTGGTTAAATTGAACACAAATGAAGGAACCTTCATGGGGGGTTTAAAATTTTTTAGAAATCTACCCCAGTTAATGAAATGTATTATTTCCTTCAAGAAAGATTTATTGAATACCTATGCTGTGCATGGCAGTATCCCAGGTACTGCAGGGGTTACAAAGACAAAAATATGTGACAATTTCTCCATTTCTAGACTGTTTCAGTAAGGGTGACTTAACGAATCTGATTTTCCCAACATTTGAGCATTTTTCAGAAACTGACAGATCTTTATGCAAATGTTGTTGCCAAGCTGTTTGTAATGGTGAAATTATACTTTGACAGTAACTCTTTAAAATATATTAAGCCCAGCTAAGGTTTTTTTGGAAATGTTGCCAATTAAATGACTTTAATGAGCTTCTTGATGGTAATGTAATTAAAATTCAGATGTTCTAATTGTAAAAAAAAAAAAAATAGTTCTGGGAAAGTTAACAGTAAAATAAGCAAATGTAAAATGAATTAGGGCTAATTTAAATGGTGATTATGTGGTCTTCTGAGAAGATTCTACCAAAACAATGCTTTCAATTATGCTGTTTCTAAAGAAGAAAGAAGGCACCTAACAGAGATTTTGAATTTGTCCGATAAAACAGATATTTTGAGTTTAACCAATAAAACAGATTGAAAAATTCTGAACTCGGTAAATCATTCTCAGACTGTGAAAGAGAACTGCTAAAACACTTCCCTGGCATTATGGACAGGTACCCTGACAACCTGAAGTGGAATAATTCTAATTCAGGGAGAAATAAGTGCCTGGACCTCACCAAGCTATTCATGAGGAAGACAATCTGGCTTCTCATAAAAGCTTCTAATGACCCCCTGCTCAGATTATTGGCATGTGATACTAACATGCTGATCATAACCAGTCTTTTTGTTGAAATGTTTATGATTTCATTCTATTGGCTTCTAATTAATACTCCATCATTTACTCAAAAATTGCAATGGGAGTGTATGTTTTAATGAATATTCTTTGGTACAGCTTTCAATCCTTTACTCCGTGGCTGCAGAGAGGATCTCTCCTGTGAAAAAGAGAAAGGTGTGATAAAGCCAAGGTCATGCCACAATGGCTTGACAACTTATCTTCCTTCCTTCATAATTACTGTTCATTGATAAGCAATGATAGGAGAATCTTTGCTGGCCACTAATTATTGGGAGCAGGAATTTTTCTCACTGCTATGGAAAGTGTATTTTTGAACTAAATGTCTTAATGAAGCATTTAATAGAATATAAAAAATGATTTGTAGGTTAAAAAACTACCCATTCACATGATTTAGTTTGTTATCGAAACATGCTTTCAGATTTTCATAGACATAATAGAAAATTTTAGATATGTCTTAAAATTTGCTTATATCCCACTAGTCCTAAGCTAAATTTTCAGCTTTAAGAAATAATGATTTAAGAGTGATGATACTTTACTATATACAAATAAATGCTTTATATACCCACAGGAAACACTGCTGCTCTCTCATTTACTTCAGAAGACTAAAGTAATACTTTGCTAATTCTTTTCTTTCAAAGGAAATATGTCAATCTTTTCAATATAACATGTTTATTATAGCAGCATACTGCAGTGGGTAAGGGCAGGATACTAAAGTCAGACTACCTGGTTTGAATCTCAGCTCAGTAATACACTAGCTATGTAACTTTTGTCAATTTTCATAAGTTCTCTCTGCTTCAGTTTTCTTGTATGTGAAATGGAGTTGATCAGAGGTCTAAAATACTTATTTGTAGAGCTAATGGTGTCTGGCATATAGTATTTTGAAGGTATTTGTTAGATAAATAAAATAAATGACTTCTTAATTGTCATTTTCTTTTTTAATTTATTTTTTGAATTGAAACATAATTGATTATACATATTTATAGGGTACAAAGTTGACTATCAGTATTGGCGTATTTATGTAATGATCTAATCAATATAACTAGCATGTTCATCATTATAAATTGAAACTATTCTTTTTGTCCCTTACCCAGTTAAACCCTAACCCCCTGCCCCAACCCCCTTTCCCACCTCTAGCAACTGTGGATCTGTTTTCTCCTTCTGAAAGTTCAACATTTTATTGTGGTTTTTCTTTCCTTCTTTCTTTTCTTTTTTAGCTCCCACTTATGAGTGAGGACATGTGCTATTTCTTTTTCTGTGCCTGGCTGATTTCACTTAACATAATTTTCTCCAAGTTCATTCATGTCACTTCGAATGGCAGAATTTCATTCTTTTTTATGGCTGAGTAGTATTCCATTGTCTATATATACCAGATTTTCCTTATTCAGTCATCCACTGATGAACATTTAGGTTGGTTCCATATCTTGGCTATTATAAATAGAGCTGCAATGGACATGGGAATGCAGGTATCCGTTTGACATAATGATTTTCATCTCACTGGATATATATCCAGAATTAGGATTGCTGGATTGTGTGCCAGTTCTATCTGTAGTTGTCTGAGAAACCTCCATACTATTTTCCATAATGGCTATACTAATTTATAGCCCCACAAACAGTGTATAAGAGTTCCCTTTTCTCTACATCCTCACCAGCATTTGTTATTCTCAGTCTTTTTAATAATAGCCAGTCTAACTGGGGTGAAATGATATCTCAGTGTGGTTTTGATTTGC